CAAAAGTCAGCGGTCCAAAAGTCGGCGGTCCAGAAGTCGACGGTCCAGAAGTCGAAGGACCAGAAGCTGACTCCCCCGGGCCAGAAGCCGACGCCCCCGGACCAGAAGCAGACGGTTCCGGTTCCGGTCCAAAAGCCGGCGGTCCAAAAGTCGACGGTCCAGAAGTCGAAGGACCAGAAGCCGACTGCCCGGGACCAGACGCCGACTCCCCCGGACCAGAAGCCGATGCCCCCGGTCCAGAAGCAGACGGTTCCGGTTCCGGTCCCGAGGCCGGCGGTCCAGAGGTCGACGGTCCAGAAGTCGAAGGACCAGAAGTCGACGCCCCCGGACCAGAAGTCGATGGTGGTCGACGCCCGGTCCTGTCCTGTGGTCGACGCCCCTTCCAGTTCTGAAGTCGACACCTCCTCGTGTTCTGAAGTCGACACCTCCTCATATTCTGAAGTCGATGTCTCCTCTGAAGTCGACGTCTCCTCTGAAGTTGACGTCTCCTCTGAAGTCGACGTCTCCTCTGTCGAAGTCTCCTCTGAAGTCGACGTCTCCTCTGTCGAAGTCTCCTCTGAAGTCGACGTCTCCTCTGTCGAAGTCTCCTCTGAAGTCGACGTCTCCTCTGTCGAAGTCTCCTCTGAAGTCGACGTCTCCTCTGAAGTCGAAGTCTCCTCTGAAGTCGAAGTCTCCTCTGAAGTCGACGTCTCCTCTGTCGAAGTCTCCTCTGAAATCGACGTCTCCTCTGAAGTCGAAGTCTCCTCTGAAGTCGAAGTCTCCTCTGAAGTCGACGTCTCCTCTGTCGACGTCTCCTCTGTTGAAGTCTCCTCTGTCAACGTCTCCTCTGTCAACGTCTCCTCTGAAGTCGACGTCTCCTCTGAAGTCGTCTCTTAAGTCATCTCGTCTGAAGTCGTCTCTGAAGTCGTCTCGTCTGCAGTCGTCTCTGAAGTCGTCTCGTCAGAAATCGTCTCTGAAGTCGTCTCGTCTGAAGTCGTCTCGTCTGAAGTCGCCTCGCCTGAAGTCGCCTTACCCACTCCAGAGGTCGACGCTCGTTCCACTCTAGAGGTTAATCCTAACCCTAACCCAGCCCAGCCCATCCAAGAGACTATGTCCCCAGCCCAGCCTGCAGAGACTATGTCCCCGGCCCAGCCTGCAGAAACTGTGTCCCCGGCCCAGCCTGCAGAGCTCCTCTGCCGCAGACGCAGGCCTCCTAGGGCCCGTCGCCTCCTCCTCTGCCACAGACGCCGGCCCCCAAGAGCCCGTCGCCTCCTCCTCTGCCGCAGACGCCGGCCACCAAGAGCCCGTCGCCTCCTCCTCTGCCGCAGGCGCAGGCCCCCAAGAGCCCGTCGCCTCCTCCTCTGCCGCAGGCGCAGGCCCCCAAGAGCCCGTCGCCTCCTCCTCCGCCGCAGGCACCAGCCTCCAAGAGCCTGTCGTCTCCTCCTCTGTCCCAGGCGCAGGCCCCCGGACTCTGCTGGTCCCTGCCGCCTCTCCATCGGTCCCTCGGTTCCTCTGGGCCCTCCCTCCGGGTCCCCCTCCTCCCGCCCTGCTCCTTGTTCCTGTGGGCGTCTGGGATCCGCCCTTTGGGGGGGGGGGGGGGGGGTACTTTCACACCCTGTCCTGTCTCCCTGTTTGGTTCAGCCTTGTGTCTCGTTAATTACTCCCACCTGCCTCTCGTTTTCCCAATCACCTTAGCTCCCGGTCCTCCTATATTTAAACCCCTTCTGTTCTGTGTCTTGTGTCGGTTCATTGTTTCATTGTCCAGTGTGCGTCCTAATAAATCTGTGTAGTGAATCCTACCTGTCTGCCTGCTTCCTCCCCGGTCTGGATCCTCGCCTCAGGTCCGCTCCACTCCGCAGCAAGTCCGACACATAGTCCCTCCAATGTGTCCTGGGTCTCCCTTGGGTCTCCTCCCAGTGTGACGTACCCGGAAAACCTCACCAGGAAGGCATCCAGGAGGCATTCTGACCAGATGGTCGAGCCACCTCAACTGGCTCCTCTCGATGAGGAGGAGTAGCAGGTCCTAGAGGTCTGAGGTGTAGGACTAAAGTGTCACCACAGTTAGTGTAGCAAAGTACAGGTTTGAAGAGTGTGGGTGTTGTAGTTTTTGAGCTAGATCGGTTCCAGTGTGGGCCAGATGCTAAAAAAAATGCATAAATCTGGCTTCCTTGAAGCTTCACAAATCGAAAACTATGTTTTATACAATCTGCTATTAGTCTAGAATAACACAGTACAGTTTGAGGAGTGTGGGTGTTGTAGTTTTTGAGCTAGAGCAGATTAAAGATGGCCAGAGTAGAGAAGTATTGGATGTAATTGCCTTTAGCCATTTCCCAAATCGGAAGCTGGAATCTGAAGCTAACTTCACTCTCTTTGCAGTGAGCCAATAAAACTAACCTCACTTCACTCAGATTGTTTCTTTTTTTAAAAATCATATTAAATGCACTGTGTTTAACGACTGTTCGTCGCGATGTATTTTTTGCGTGATATGGGACTTTATTTGCTGGATGCTAAGATCACACTCGGAGTAAAAGTTTGTGCTGGCTACAATGAGAGGAAGGTTATCATCTGGTATGATAAAAGATGTTGATGACAATTTGCAGATCACGTTTTATTCCACGAAGGCTGGCCGAATCCATGTTTATCCGGGTGCTAAATTAAAGTTTGCCGACATTTGAGAGTTATAAGAAGCGTACTGCTTTGCTGCTGTGTATGTTACTGCCATATTCACAAGGAAATGACTCCTCTTTATTTATGAATGGGTTGACTTTTATTTCCTTCATTTTGACTACCAGGTTTTTTTTTATTGACCAAAAGTGCTTCTTACAATTTCCCGGAGAAACAACAACACATATTGAAACGTGCAAGGCGTCAATGTTGACCATAAAAAAGAAATAACACAACTTTGAAAAAACATAAAAAGAGGCGCTTTTGTCACAAAGTAAAACGTGTTACAGGATCAAAAACTTTTTAGCAACATGACAAAAGGCTTCTGCAGTTACACTGGAGTGTTTTATCCAAATCAACATGGATAAGAACATACATACGTCATTTATGAAGCAATTTGGGGCGACGGTGGCACAGGAGTTAAGTGCTCCCCCGTATTCGGTAGGTTGCAGGTTCGAGCCCCGCTCAGTCTGTCACCGTCGTTGTGTCCTTGGGCAAGGTTCCAGGACTCTAGAAGGCGCTATATCCAATACAGGCCATTTACCATTTATTTTAAATCTGGCAGTTGTTTTGTCCATTTATTTTTGTGGATGTGGTATTGACCCATAATAATAATAATAATAATAATAACAACAATAATAATAATAATAATAATGTTACTTAAAGGTGAAATAATCCTGATTGATTTAGTATTGTAAATAAGAATATCTTTATTTATAAAAACGTTCAAGTTCTCTGACTTTATTTCTTAACCAACAATGGACTTCTTCCCAAAACCTATTATTAACAGGACAGCTGAAAATAAGTGTTCTGTTCCTTCAGGGCTTTCATGACAGAATTCACATGGGTCAAGCTCAAAACCAAATCTACTCCTCAGTGTCACTGCTGATGGATAGAAGTTGTTAAGAATCTTAAGTTACATTTACTTTAACCTTTAAAAGCAGACTGAAAACACGTCTGTTCTCGCTGGTGTTTGGACATTGAAGTTAGGATTGCGTGGGCAGCTGCACTTTGAATGTGTCTGGATCTGATTTTGGAAAAAGGTCTGATATGGACTGCGAACTTGTACTCGGCATTTCTTATTGTATTTTAAATGGCTATATGTCTGTTTTCTTGTTGTGATTTTTATTGGTGTACAGCGCTTGCTTTGTCTGTTTTGGGCATGTGAAAGCGCTTTATAAATAAAGTTGATTTGATTTGATTTGATAACATTTACTGTGGGTGCTATTGGCCATTTAAAAACATTTTTTTAATGTTTTTCTACAATTCTTGGATTTCCTAACATTTGTAGTTTAATCTTTCATCATGATAGATATATCATTTAAAGGGTCAGTTAAAAAACTTATTTTCACATTTTCTGTTTGTAATTTTTAATACTCCTGTTGTTAAATGAGGACGTTTGGTTTGGACATTAGAGAAGCAAATTGTGTTTTTTTTTTATCTGTTATTGGTATTGACTTACATATTTTCTTATATTCCTTAAGGAAACATTGGTGATTGTTAAATTTGTATTTAAAATCTTGTAGTTGTAATATTTCACCATTTTTATCCATAACATGTATCATGTACAAAGACGCTTCCTTGGTCAAACCACTGCTGGTTGAACGAAGACTTTTTGTTTGGAACGATTACTTGATTATTCCACAAGGTGGTGCAATGCAGGGTAGAATAATGGGTAAATGATAGCATCTTCTAAAAATCCAAAACGTGTTTATGAAATTTCAAATAATTTAAATGGAAATTAGTGATTTCAAAGTCACATTTAAAAAGAAAGTTTAACCCACCAAACATCTTAAAGACATTTTTTGGAACATTGACTCTGGCTTAATTAGAAAATCTTTCAGCCACTTTATTTTAAATGTTCCCAACATTGCTTAAAAATCCACTGATTTCAAGCCTCCATCATCAAATTCTTTAACCAACTGAGATCTTTTGATATAGTGGGTTTTATTTCTCCAAATAAATTTGTATATAATAGAGTTAATATTATTCACAGTTTTTGGGGCGATGTAAAGAGATAGATGTGGATAAATCAGTTGGGAAATACCCACAATTCATTTCACCCAAAAATGGAAAGATCTCTGCTAAGCCACTGATTCAAAGTTTTTTGTATTTGATCACTTTTTCCTTTCATATTCATTTCTTCTGTTTTCGTCTGCGATCTTAACTCGCAGATAGTTAATTTCTTTTTAAACAGAAATTGACATTATTTCTTTATCTATACATTCATACAGTTAAAGTAATTCACATTTTTTTGTGTTCAGATGAAGACCTGATGCTTTGGGAACTTTTTATGTCGATGATCACTACCTACAATCCAGCGCGGAACCATTTATCTGTTATTTTCGCGACTCGGATTTCTATAAGGTGACACACTTCCGGTTCGGAGCTCTCGTTGCACACGTGAGATCAACAAAACTCAAACTAAAGCAGAACAAAAGCGCGTATTTACTCGTTTACTGAGGCTAATTTCTTACTGGACATTTCCGGTGGTGCGTGAGTTTCCGCGGAGACGAACTGAGCGGATTTTGTGTTTTATTTGGACTTTAATCCGCTTCGGGCGAGTTAAACACGCAGCACAGGCTCGGAAACTGGAGGAGAAAAGGTCCCGGTTCTCACTCGGGAACGGAGGAAAACAGCTGACTTAAAGGAGAAGAGGTAAAACACATCCCTGTGGTTTAATTTGAAACCAGATCAATTATAGGTACATTACGATGTTGTCACGTGTCATTCCAAAATATGAACGATAAATGAGCCGCACTTGTGTAGCGCCTCTCAGAGTAAGGACTCCAAAGCGCTTTACACTACAGTGTATCATTCATCCATTCACACACTGGTGGTGATGAGCTACGATGTAGCCACAGCTGCCCTGGGGCACACTGACAGAGGCGAGGCTGCCGAGCACAGGCGACACCGGTCCCTCCGACCACCACCAGCAGGCAACGTGGGTTAAGTGTCTTGCCCAAGGACACAACAGCAGAATTCTCTGTCCGGAGCCTGGATCGAACCTGCAACCTTCTGAATACTGGACAACCTGTTGAGCTACTGCTGCCCCAGTTTGGTGATTCAGAGAGAGCAGGCTATAAAACCTTCTGAAATGCCCCCAGACTGACTGGGATGGCACCAGAAACCACCTCATGATAAAGGTTACCAGGTTCTTTGTTTCACCAACGTGCCGCACGCATCCATAGATTCTAGATAAATAATGCTGCCGTTCTCAGCACACGTCCTTATTAATCACAACTTTCTGTAGCTTGTTGGACTGTCTTGAGTATGACTAGTTGTGCCTATTTTTGTGGCACAACAACACCTTATTGTTAATGTTGAGGACATGCCTAAACATGCTTGGCTCGGAGAGAATTAAAATGGCTCAGGCTCAGCTGACCAACAACCTTTGAGTCGTAATCAGTTGTTTGTTGTTGTTGTTCTCTGTGTTTCCGCTACACAGGCTCAACTTCCGCTTCTTTTGTTCTCCAGTAAAAGCTGCAGGGGTAGGGAACCCTGGCCCTGGAGAGCTGCCGTCCAGCACGTTTAGAGGTTTCAGTACTTCAACACAGTTCATTCACATGTTCAGCAGCTCGTTAGGCTCTACAGGTGCGCACTAAACACCTGCTGATTAAAATCAAGTGTGTTGTTGCTTGGAAGCCTCTAAACATGCTGGACAGCAGCTTGCCAGAACCAGGGTGCCTTACCCCTCCGATAAATGCACAGTAATTAACTTTTCGATATTTTATCATCAATGTCACTATCCAGTAAAAGGCAAAAGGAACACTTACAAGCAGCATATAGGGTAACATCTGTTATCCAGTGTTGGGAACGTTACTTTAATAAAGTAATTAGTTATAGTTACTGATTACTTTGTCAAAAAAGCAACTCAGTTACTGAGTTACGAGATTATAAAAGTAACTAATTACCAAGAAAAATAACTATTTTGTTACTTTTTCCATTAAAGAATGCAAAAAAATGGGTTAATTGAACTTTGTAAGTGCGTTACCGACACCTCTCTCTCCCTGGCTGCAGCTGAAGTGTGGCGGTCAGAAAGCCTCACACTGCTGCTCAACGTTCGACAAGCACATAGTAACGCACAACCTTCCGTCCCCAGTAACGGTAACGGCGTTACAACAGTGGGAAAAGTAATTAATTAGATTATTCCGTTACCTAAAAAAGAACGCCGTTAGTAACGCCGTTATATTAAACGCCGTTACTCCCATCACTGCTGTTATCACCCATTCCTATGACTTCAGGGCTTGTTTTTGTCAACATCCAACAGCTTTTCCCCTGTGGTCACAAGACTGCTCTCCTCCCAGTATCTTCCTTCTGTGTTGGGCCCAACCACAATACTCGCACTGCGTGCGCCCTGCGGTCTTCAGCAAAGTGCACTTGGAGAAAGTGTGCAGTAGGGTTCGAGTGTGTAGCACACAAGTGTGCAAATTATTGCCGAACTGAGACAGGGAGCATTGCGTCATCGATCGCAACGCATGCCAGGCTGCTGGTCGCTGTGAAACTTTTTTCAAAAACCTTCATTAACTTTCAAACAAATAAAGTAATTATTTGAAATAAATTTTACTTCATTGCTGCTTTGTCAAAAATATTCAGACCTTCATGCTTATTTAGTCCTAAAATGAACTAATTTCATTAGAAAATACATATTTTCATAAAAGGAACTTGAGCCGTTCCTCCTGCAGCAATGACTTGTGGATAATACCCTTACCCGAGGTCCGCATTGCTGCAGACTTGGGTGAAGTGCAGATTAAGGGTGCAATGGGGGCGTGGTCAATTTCCGCACTTGAGAATTGGGACACCCTACGCACTCGCACCCCTGGCCAGGAACGCACAATTGCAGTTTGCAAGGGTGCAAGTGTGAGTACGGATGGGTACCTTTGACATTTGAATCGATCCAGTACTAATTCCCGGTACCTACGAATCGATACCGGTACTTAACGGTACCAATTTTTGATACTTTTGAGTGTTTAATATTTTAATTCTCTTTTATAATTAAATATATAGTTTTCTCAATATATAACCATATTTGATAAATAACATTCAACTGTTTGTATTTTAACATCGTCCTTGTTATAAGCTGATAATTAAACTGAAGCAAACATCTTTACTGTGAACTAAATTTACTGTGTATCTTCATTCCTTTTGCCGTATTTTTTTCATTTGATTTTTCCTACTGGGAAGTTAGAATTTCCGAGGAGAAAGCGAACGCACCATTAGCTGATAACAACGGTGGCAATGGAAGCTAACATATCAAGCTAACGTTATCTTAAACAGTTTATTTAGCTGCTGGAGCAGATTAAAACGATGATGCCTCACACTTAGATCGTTGTCGCTGGTTTCATCTTCACCCAATCACCCGTCGCATTTAGTAAAGTGAAGCCAAGCTTTAGAGCGCGTTCATGTCCTTCTAGTCGGAAATTTGGAGTTCCGAGGAGAAAATGAACGCACCAGTAGCGAAATGGAAGCTAACATATCAAGCTAACATTATCTTAAACATTTTATTTACCTACCGGAGCAGATTAAGATGAGGATGTCTCACTTAGATCGTTGTCGCTGGTTTCATCATCACCCAGTTACCCATCACATTTAGTGAAGTGGACCCAAGCTTTAGCGTGCGTTCTTTCTACCATGCTGCTCTGTTTACAACTCGCTCGCAGCGACTGACGACATAACGCTCTTGCGTGTGCACAGCTGTCTTGGCAAGTTCTCGTTATGAAGGACGGGTACCGAAACAAGGCACCGTTTGAAATGACGTGAATCGGTGCTCGGTCGGTACTGTGGAATTCGGTCGGTACCTTAAAAAGTACCGAATTCGGTACCCATCGCTAAGTGTGAGCATTGAGATTGGGCGTGTCCGATGGTTCGCTGAACGTGACGGAAGCGGCAGCTGCAGGAGCGTCCAGCGTCTCTCGACTCTCCGAGGGCGTTCAGGCTCCTTGTGTGGGAAAATGGTCGCTAAAGCGTTTAGTTTCAATCTTCTCTTATACCCAGCCGCTCTGGTGAGCTCTTTAAGTCGTTGTGATCGACTATAAGCCTCAAACGCATCAGGAGGAAAATGTTGGGAACACAGCCATGGATCTTTGGGAAGTTGTGTCCATCCACAGGCATCTTCCCACTGCTTTCTCCTCTTGTTGCCAGTGGGAAAGCTGTAAACTCACATCACTCCCCTTGTTGCCCTCTGACTGGAAATTACATCCAAAAGTAGCACAATGCGGCATTTTACTTAATTATTAATACGGCGAGCACGTAAACAAACACTAGCGTCAATAGCTATTCCTCCAAGTACAACCAATATACGTCATCACCCCCCAGAGTGCATTGCTTTTGGAAAACACGGCGTCCTACGTATGTCTAAAATGTACTAAATATTACAGATTTATAAATAAACGGCTATATTTCGTGTGTTTCTAACAGCATAGTTTGGTACAACAGAAAACTTGTGGCTGATTAGGGCATAAACGTCCTCATAGCCAGAGTTCCTGTTAAGGTACTGCCATCAAAAACCAGGTATCGTTAAAGTAGTAGTATAAAGAAATATCTACTGGTTCCCAGCCCTACCGACGCTGTTGTATTTTAAATAAATGTTGTACGTTACCTAGCTACCCTTTCTGCGAAAGCTCAAACTGCTCTGCTACTGTTCTCTACCGAATGTTTTGGCAAAAAATAATAAAAAAAAAAAAACAGATAAATAAATGAACACAAGTTAAAAGGATTTTTTTGCCAGTAGGGCTGGGAAATGGGTATTAATATTTTACGTAAGTGGTCTTGAAAAGGTCTTAAAAAGTCTGGAATTTAACGTAATGAAACCTGTAGGAACCCTGTCGTGTTGTTTGTCCTCCCCAGTGGACAGGATGGACGGAAAGGTTAAGAAACAGAAGAAGCACCAGCAGAAGCACAGTGGGCCGAAAGCAGAGAAGAAGAAACTCAGGAAGCATAATGGACCAACGGAGGAAGATGACCGGAGACGCAACCCCAAAGCGTTTGCAGTTCAGTCTGCTGTCCGCATGGCCAAGACCTTCCACAGGTCAGTTCTGCTCAGACCTGCTACGAAGCCTGGCCGCTGTTTGGGTTGCTTATTGGGTTCATTGTGTTTTTAGGGCCCAGGATATAAAAACCAGGAAACATCACATCCCTCTTGTTGACCGAATGCCCCTCGAACCTCCTCCTGTCGTAATTGTGGTTGTCGGCCCCCCCAAAGTGGGGAAAAGCACCCTTATTCGCTGTCTGATCAAGAACTTCACTCGGCAGAAGCTTGGTGATATCTGTGGACCTGTGACCATCGTCTCCGGTGAGCTCAATCCTTCTTCAGTTGCACCCACTTAGTAAAAGTAGAATGGCCTTTATTTGATATAGCACCTTGTAGAGACCCCCCAAGGCTCTTTACAACACAATCAGTCATTCACCCATTCACACCCAGTAGTATTGGTTGGCTTTGTATTTTATACATAGGGCTGCATTTGGTGTTTCTCCAGGTAAGAAGCGGCGCCTGACCTTCGTCGAGTGTAACAACGATATAAACACGATGATTGATCTGGCCAAGGTGGCTGACCTGGTAGGTTTGACGCTTCTCTCTTGAGACTCAGATGAATGAAGGTCTGCGTAAAGCTGTTCTTTGTCCCTGACTCCAGGTGCTGATGCTGATCGATGCCAGCTTTGGCTTTGAGATGGAGACGTTTGAGTTTCTCAACATTTGCCAGGTGCACGGTTTCCCTCGTGTCATGGGAGTGCTGACTCATCTAGATTCGTTCAAGAACAACAAGACTCTGAGGAAGACCAAAAAAAACCTCAAACATCGTTTCTGGACAGAGGTTTACCAGGTAGACACAAAATCAGCGTGTTTTCTGAACCACTGAAGATTTTTGAGTTTTATCACCTTCTCTCGACACGTGTGCTTGTTGTATTTGAACTTGTTAGGGAGCCAAATTGTTCTACCTGTCTGGGATGCTCTACGGTGAATATCAGACTCAGGAGGTGAAGAACCTCGGCCGCTTCATCTCAGTCATGAAGTTTCGTCCTCTCGTATGGCAGACTTCTCATCCTTATGTGCTAGTAGACCGGTGAGGCTAAGCACTTGCTTTTTCCCAGATAGACTTTTCCGTAGTTCTGTTTGATGTGTGTTGATTCTTCTGTAAAACAACAATTTTATTCTCACTGACCTCCTGTTTGGACCTTTGGGTCCCATGGCAGCTCTTCTCTGCTTTTATAGCATTGCTGTTGAGCGCAGTTGTTGACTACATTTAAACTATACAGGGTCAAAAGCCACACAGTTTGATGAATTGAAGCATGTGTGATTAATAGGGATGGACAATATATCGGTATCGGTCCGATAAATTAAACCGGGCTGATATTAACAACCGATATTTTTTCCATTTGTGTCCGTTTGTTTGCATGTTTCAGAGGGTGAGGGAGGTGATGCGTATTTGTGTAGTCATGTGATCCTCTCAGAAGCGTAAATGTGTGTGTGTGTGTGTGTGTGTGTGTGTGTGTGTGTGTGTGTGTGTGTGTGTGTGTGTGTGTGTGTGTGTGTGTGTGTGTGTGTGTGTGTGTGTGTGTGTGTGTGTGTGTGCAGACACATCCAGCTGCTGTTATTTATTTGTTGTTTGTGTTTATTTAGAAACTGAATTAGGGCTGCAACAAACGATTATTTGGATAATCGATTAATCGGATGGGGTCTCGACACGATTAATCGATTAATCTGATTACATGGGGAAATTTTTAAAAACTGCTAGGGAAACGTTATTTCTCTCCTTCCTTCACTTTATTTAACACAACATTATTAGAAAACAGTTCAATAGCAGAAAAACAACATGCCATCACCTAAATTGTCTTTTAAGGTGTATAGACAGAGACCCTAAGCTACATCTATCTGTGACCTAAAATGCTTGGTCCAAGTTAAACAGCTTAAGGGCAATTCTCATCTGTTTTGTTTGATCTCATCTGTTGACATTTATTTTAAATGTAATTAAACATAGGCTGTGAATTAATCAAAATTGATCACTATTTCCAAAAATGACTGAAAAAATACCAAATAAAACAAAAGTAAATGAATGCCATCCTCCTTGCGATGATGCCCTGGGCAACTGCCATAAAGTCACATCAAGAAATGCTGCTGATCATTCCAATGATCCCAAATAGACTCACATTAGGCCACATGAAAGCAACTGAACCCAAAAATATATTAACCAGTATATAACTGCACTCTCACACAACACGCCTGCAGCAACAGTTAGGACTCCTCCCTCCCTTTTAAAAGCGTTTTTGCTTCTGAGGACACTGTGGTTGTAAAACCACATGCTAGTAGTCTGGCCCTGGTGTGATCAACCAGTTTCTGCGGGAATGTGACGGCGGAACCAGGGCCAGATTAACACTTTGTTGTACCCTGGGCAACAATATTCAAGGGCTCCATCATCACGACCCAAGGATCACCATAATGTGGTCACATACAGAATATTTTACTGTAATATGCAGTAAATATACTCAATACTTGAATGCCTGACAACACGTAACCCGCCCAGAGTAACCTTTGACCCACCTCGTGTGGACTGACCAATGAGGAGAGGGTCTTAACTTGAGGCCCTCTCTTCATTGGTCAGTCTGCATGAGACTGACTCTCAACTGACGTTCAGTCGTAGGCAGCGAAGCGTCTCTGTGCAGTGCAAAAGCCCGGGTGGACAGTTTGTTTAATGTAGGGTGATCATATTTCCATTTCCAAACAAGAGGACAGGGATCTGTATCTATGACGTCACACTATGGCAACGCCACACAAACCATGTTGGGACCCATTTTTTGTAAGAACTAAATTAATATCAGATTCTGCCAATTAAAGGGCTCTAAAACAATTCATATGTAAATATTTTGCATATTTATTGCAAAATCTAATTTTTCTGCTTTAGTGCTGCAACAAGATTTTATTAATAATAAATTATTATACCTTTTGTTTTACTACAGCATCGGTACGCTTCCTGTGCACAGATTATTAAGGATGCTTGTTTCAGCTGTGAGATTAGACGATAGGATCAATGAAAAAATAACTAGTCACACACTCCATGGAAACTTTCAGAGAATCCACAAATAGTGGCTTTCAAATGGTTTTGTTACTTTTTGCAAGTTTATAAAAGCAGCAGATGAGACAGCATGTCTGATAATTTAGTTTTTCATCTGATAATATTAGAACATGTCAGTAATGTCTGAGGGGCTTTTACAAGCACCATATAACTAACACTACTGGAGAGGGCATGAATTACACAGAGGCTTCTGGGGAGCCCAGTTATTGGGGGGATATGGGGGGGGGGGCATTTTGCCTTGGCCCCCAAAATGTCTTGAAACGGCCCTGGGTGTGTGACTGAGTTTTGAAGGTGATCTGAATTGTATCAGATGTATAAATATTACATGTGTATAACTTAATGTTTTTTATAGGTAAAAACGTGTCGTGGAGATAAATCTACCTACATTTTACTTTTCAACACTTTGTTTTGTTTTCTTGTTTTTATTGAACTATTTTCCTGTCCTGTCTGTCTCTCATCTTCCTGCATCTCCTCTAAACTCTCCAGAAAATCTGTTGCCTGGATTCTTACCTTTTCACCTCACCAGTTACTTTTGAGCAGATCAAAGGGATCTCCTGACCGAAAAGCGGAGAGCGCGTTTTCGATGCTGCGTGAGGTGACATCACCACAGCACAGGTGATGAGCTCCGCAGTAGCGAGCTTCAGGCACAAATAAGACAGAAAATAGAGAACATGTGCGGACATGAACAATCGTGTGCTAATTATAGTTTTTTGGTTGCGCCACTTTGAGAATGGACCGTGCGCTGGAAGCAGCTGCCTGGATCGCTGTGCAACAATGCGGAACCGGTTCGCAGCAGCGCAAGTTTGCCGGCTCTCCCTCGCGCTGATCTGCCGGCTCTCCCTTGCGCTGATCTGCCGGCTCTCCCTTGCGCTGATCTGCGGCTCTCCCTCGCGCTGATCTGCGGCTCTCCCTCGCGCTGATCTGCGGCTCTCCCTCGCGCTGATCTGCGGCTCTCCCTCGCGCTGATCTGCGGCTCTCCCTCGCGCTGATCTGCGGCTCTCCCTCGCGCTGATCTGACTTGCTCTGGTCTGCGCGCAACGGCGGGCGGGAAGGGGGGGGGGGCGCTTTTGGAAGAGTTGTGCGACACAACGAATCGATGACGCAATTCGTTGCCAACACTTTTAGTAATCGATTTTCATCGAATTTATCGATTCGTTGTTGCAGCCCTAAACTGAATCTATCTGCAGGACAGTTTTACACCTCAAACCGACCCGCTCTAGATCATGACCTGTTATTAATATTATCACGTATTCTTTACACCAATCCGAGCATTCTGTAATGTTCACACACATCCAAACCTTAGAACTGAAAAAAAAAACAATATTAAAATAAACAAATGGTTAATATTATTTTTCATTATAGATCTGTGAACTTGTCACATTTGACACGTTATTATATTTGACATCAGCCAGCCTGGGCCACGCCTGAGCCCATGTAGGGGAAACTCTGAAAGTTTCCTCTGTCAGAGCCTGCTGTAAAATCCCGATTGTTCTCTGGATGGAGTCCCACTGCCTGCGTCACATCTGGTTTGGCAGAAAAAAACAATTTTCTCCCGAATCCTAAATGATTTAGGTTTGTGTTAAACGTTTTTATTTACCAGTTCCTATTCTGTTTCTCTAAACATTTGTGTAAAGGAGGCTCTAACATGCAATGTGCTTTCTAACTGTGACCTTCCCTAACCGCTTATTTTTGAATAAATTTATTTCATCATGTGACAAGCTCTTCTTCTGTGGTTTTGATAGGGGTGCTCATGCGCCCTCTGATGGCAAAACATATATTACACCCATGCACAGAGGAAGGATGAGAGTTCAGCTGGTAGTTAACCGGGCAAAAAGATTTTACCCAGTTACAAAACCGGTCCGCTATGTACATCCCTACTTTAAGTATTTGGGTATCTGGCTTGATGGCACACTTTTATTTGACATTCACAATAAAACAAAACTTTTTAAAGTCAAGAATTGGGTTTCTATACCGCAACAGGCCATCCTTTACTCGTTCTGCAAAGCAAACCTTGGGCAAACAATCCTTTCCATTACAGTGGCCTCACTTATAGGCCTTCTTCCAAAGAGCCTCTTCACAAACTCGATGACATTTATCACTTAGCAGTTCATTTTGTACCTGTTCACTACTCATCGTTGTACTCTGTACTCACTCATCGCTCCATTCCCACAGGTTGTTGCATTGGCATCAAATTATATCCCAAACAATCGTCTGTAGAACAGTCATCTCGCTCATTACTCAGCACTTGCAACGACCAGCACCATTTACATTCCAGCAACTTAATCTCTATGGTTTCTCCCAAAGCTTGCACCTGCTTTAGCCGCTCCTCGTTCCAGTTTGCTGCTGCCAGTGAGCTGCAAAGATCACTAAAGATCACTACCTTCAATATTTCATTGCAATCAATAGTTTCTGGTCGATGTGTCTGCTTCTGATTACTTAGAGACTGTTTTATGTCTGTTTTGATCGCCTGTGAGAACAGTTCTTAGTCTTTGTTTGTTTTTATCTTGTTTGTTTTTATCTTGTTTGTTTTTATCAAGTTTGTTTTTATCTTGTTGCTCTTTGGTGTAAAGCTAATTATGCGTCTTTTGCTGCTGCCTCTTGGGCAGATCATCGTCATAAATGAGAATGAGTCCTCAATCGACTCATCTGATTAACTAAAGGTTAAGAAAAAATTTAAATTTTGGTGTATTCTTGCATAGATGTTCTGCTGACTGAAAACCACCTTTTTTCAGTAGTCTTCCTGTTTTCTGTGTTCCTTTGTGCAGCCTAGAGGACCTGACCAATCCTGAGAAGGTTAGGATGGACCCCAGGTGTGACCGGACTGTGTCACTCTACGGCTACCTGAGAGGGGCACATTTAAAAAACAAAAGCCAGCTCCATATTCCAGGTGCGTAGCTGGGATACAGGTGTCTTCTGCTACCTGAGCAGCATGGGGAAACAAACTCTTGTTCTTTTTGCTCTTCTTTGATGTTTTCAATGGAAATGGTGCTCCGTCGCCCAGATGCGGGTCATCAGGACCCCCGTCTGGAGCCAGGCCTGGAGGTGGGGAACATTGGAGAGTCCATCCATCCATCCATCCATCCATCCATCCATCCATCCATCCTTCCTTCCTTCCTTCCTTCCTTCCTTCCTTCCTTCCTTCCTTCCTTCCTTCCTTCCTTCCTTCCTTCCTTCCTTCCTTCCTTCCTTCCTTCCTTCCTTCCTTCCTTCCTTCCTTCCTTCCTTCCTTCCTTCCTTCCTTCCTTCCTTCCTTCCTTCCTTCCTTCCTTCCTTCCTTCCTTCCTTCCTTCCTTCCTTCCTTCCTTCCTTCCTTCCTTCCTTCCTTCCTTCCTTCCTTCCTTCCTTCCTTCCTTCCTTCCTTCCTTCCTTCCTTCCTTCCTTCCTTCCTCTGAACCCGCTTGTCCATCCATCCATCCATCCATCCATCCATCCTCTGAACCCGCTTGTCCATCCATCCATCCATCCTCTGAACCCGCTTGTCCATGTAGGGTCGCGGGGGGCTGGTGCCTATCTCCAGCATTCAACGTGCAATCAGGCAGGGTACACCCTGGACAGAGAGCCAGTCCATCGCAGGGCAACACAGAGACACACAGGACAATCACACACACACACACTCATACCCAAGGACAATTTAGGCAGACCAGTCAACCTAACAGTCATGTTTTTGGACTGTGGGAGGAAGCCGGAGTACCCGGAGAGAACCCACGCATGCACAGGGAGAACATGCTAACTCCATGCAGAAAGATCCCAGGCCGGGAAGCGAACCCAGGACCTTCTCGCTGCAAGGCAACAGCTCTAAGCACTGCACCACTGCGCAGCCTTATTGTGTTTATATTGTGTTTTTTTGTATTTAAGAGACTTTTTAACATGGACTAATTTGTCCCTCATTCTCCTCCACCTCTTCATGCTCTTGCCACCTGAAAACCCATGTTTCCCATCATCTCCATCCACAATAAAAGCTTCCTGCGTATCTTTATACTCCTCCAGTTGCAGGTGAATAAAGTGTTTTTTAGAGTTTGTCCACAAGGTAATCTTCAAGTTGCTCCGTTTCTGTCGCTAGATAACTTTGGCGCTCCTCATGTTTTTGAGGCAGTGCTGCTGTTGACATAATCAGCATCCTGGCCAATCACAAGCTTGTTCTCAGTCTCTTTTGATGGATGTTTGAAAAGTGGGCTTGACCCTGTCCATCTTTGCGAGCCTGCAGAAGAGTCCTTGCAAGGAAAGCAGTGTTTCACCAACACCGTTTGTAATGGGGACGGTGTGCTGCTGACCTCGACTCAGGATGTTGTGGATTGGTGGGCGGAGTTTGTTCTAACAAGTCCTCAAGCCCACTGACATGTATGCCAGTGAGGAAGCAGAGTCCAGGGACTTTGGGGTGGACTCTCCAGTCTCTGGGGCTGAAGTCACTGAGGTTGTCGGAAAGCTCCTCGTGGCAAGGCTGTAGTTCTTTAAGGCTCTGGATGTTGTACTGGCTGCGTTGGCTGCAGTATCGCGTGGACATCGGGGGAAGTCCAACTGGACTGGCAGACTGTGGTGGTGGTTCCCCTATTATAAAGGGGGACCGCAGGGGGCTCGCACTCCTGAGCCTCGCTGGTAAGGTCTGTGCAGGGGTTCTGGAGAGGAGGGTCCGTCAGATGATGGAACTAATTCAGGAGGAGCAATGTGGTTGTTGTCCTGGCCGTGGAACACTGGACCAGCTTTATACTAGCAATGCACCGATACCGATGCTTGGATCTGAGTACTCGCCGATACGAATATTAATACCGATACTTCTACCACACAAAAAAATGCAATGAATTTGAATACAGGTTTTATTTTGTTCGGGAGAAGACTGACAGGTAGATACAAAATAAAATATATTAATAGAAATGATCACAAAACTAAAATATTCTGTGAACAGAAATGACAAGTTACAGCGAAGCCACTTTCAGGCACTGGTATCGGTTAATTTAAATCGATAACGGCCCGATACCGGTATCCGTATCGACACAACCCTACTTTATGCCCGTAGGGGTGTCCTGGAGGGCGTGTGGGAGTTTGCCCAACAAATCTACATGTTTTGTGGATTTGGCGAAGGCGTTCAACCGCGCCCCTTGGGTGCCCATTGGTGGGTACTTCTGGATTATGGTGTACTAGACCCTCTGACACGAGCTGAGTCGGAGCTTGCTCCACATTGCTGGCTGTAAATCGAGCTTGTTCCTGGTGAGAGTTGGACTCCACCAAGGTTGCCCTTTGTCAACGAGAGGAACTGGTGGAGGTGGCTTGGGCATCTGAATAGGATGCCTCCTAGACGCCTCACTGTTGAGGTTTTCCTGGCATGTCCAACTGGGAGGAGACCAAAAGCAAGACCCAGTTTACACTGGAGGGACTACGTCTCTCGGCTGGCTAGGGAACGCCTTGGGATTCTCCTGGAGGAGCTGGCCCAAGTAGCTGGGGAGAGGGGAATCTGGACCTCTCGCCGTAACTGCTGTTCCTGCAATACGGCTCCAGATAAGACAATGGATGGATGGGTTTGATGTGTTGTCTTATTGTGAATTTTCTGCTCGTCAGGTGTGGGAGACTTCCAAGTGAGCGATGTGAACTTCCTCCCTGACCCGTGTCCTCTGCCAGATGCTCAGAAGAAGAGAGCTCTGAATGAGAAGGAGCGTCTGCTGTATGCTCCCATGGCCGGAGTGGGAGGTCTGGTCTACGACAAGGACGCTGTTTACATCGACCTTCCTGCCAGCCATTCCCGTCAGCAGCAGGTATCTTTTAGGCCCGTGTTTCCCAACCCTTGTCGTTAGGGCACACTGTCCTGCATGTTTTCCGTCTGCTTCAGCACACCTGATGTACATCGCCTCCTCAGGAGGACATCAGGTGCTGCAGATGCCCGTTCATTAGAGGTCGACCGATATCTATTGCCGATACCGATGAGGCGGTCGTGGTCAGCCGATGGTCGATATGTGCTGCCATTTTTTGGGCCGATATCTCAATGTTTGGCACCTTATCAGATTGCTTAATTATCACTAATAACAGCTGCGGATGCACAAGATTTCTGAGCCCAATCCACTTTAACACTGGATTTAACCAGCTGTTGAGTCTTAGCTTTGTGCACCGCTCAGTGTTAACATCAAACATTATAACAAGACTAATAAAACATACCAGTAAACTGACCAAGGATTAAATAAACAAAACGGGAAAAAAAAATATCAGTGGATGATGTTTCATAGGGATGTACACTTTTACATGTAAGTAAACATAAATGCACCTTTAGAGCAGAGAGACCGATTCTGTAGAAAAATGCACAACAGTGATTTAATAATATATAAAAACCAACAGCAGCATCTAAAGTTCATTTAGTCTTTTTAACCCAATATTTCATAACATCTTCATGTAAAACAGCTTCAGTATTAACCAAGCCTTCAGTGCCGTGATCAGCAGCAGCGTGTGTGTTAGCCTGGAGACGGGGACCCTTCAGGTTGTGTTTTTACCTTCTTCAGCTCCCAGCTCACCAGCCTCCTGCTCATATCACACCTCCTGTCCTTGGTTTGGCTCCATGACGTGCTGCCATGCTGGATGTGACTTTAGTTGAGGCATCAGACAGAAACTAAACAGGAGAAACAGTTGTTGGTGTTTGTGTCGAGCATCCGTCTTTAGCTGGGTCTGTAGCAGAAAGAGCAGAGGAGAACTCAGCACATTACAGTCTGTATGAGAAATATTAGCGACACCTTTAAACAACAACACTCTTCTGTTGGGGGGTCCAGGCGCTGCAGGACTCTCCTCTCTAACACACAGAGTGAAATTCTCCGACTCCCACACAGAAAAATATCATTTATAAACCGGAGCTAACATGTTAAGCTAAAAGCAGCTGAGAGTTTAAGCTAGCCTAGCATTAGCAGCATGCTGCCGGTTAGCGGCGGTTCTTACGGCTCGTTTTTTCTTTCACACAGCTAACTTTTACTTCCTGTTTTACTTTTGGTTCACCCAAAATCCACAGCTGTAGGGTTTAGAAACACCAAAGAGAAGCCCCGCCTTTTACTCAGAGGAAGATACTCCCAGCGTTTTGGATCGGGGTCCTTCACCGGCTTCCAGCAGCAGCGGGCTGCTCGCGGAGGTTCCTGACTTTAAATCGGCTCTACTAAAGAGGCTTATCAGCCGATGATTGCGGGGGGGGGGAGCTAAATGCCGGCCTGATTAATCGGCCGACCGATTAATCGGGCCCCACTATTGATCACTGATTTGTTTAAGTCAGGTGTGTGGCAGCAGGGAAGCGTTGGTGTTTAAAAGGACAGCATGCAGGACCGTGTGCCTTGAGGACCAGGGTTGGGAAACGCTGTTCTAGGCTCTCCCTGTAGGAGCTTGCTGTATCTGATACGATACTTTTCCTGGTAAAGGAGGAGGTGCGTCCCACCACAGAGCTGGTCCAGTCTGTCATCGACACTCACACAACTCTTGATGCCAAGATGGCAGCCAGCAAAGTGTCTCTGTTCACTGGCTCAGCCACATTAGACCCGTCAGATTTGAATGAGCAGAACAGGTGAGACCTGACGCAGATTACCTCGCCATCTGCTCACGCCAGGCTAGACTGACTAGATTGTTGTGGTTTTGTGTGTTTTTAAGAGAGCCGGGGCTTCAGGAGGAACACATCTGGGATCCCAACAGCCAGAGGGAGAGGAGGAAGGTGGTCTTCCCAGGGGAGGAAGAGAACGTCAGCGAGTCAAGCAGTGATGAGCATAGTAGCAGTGAAGACGATGAACATGCTGCTGATGAGGATATGAACGATGAGTTATTCACATTAATCAAAGAGGTCAGAGCTGAATCTGAAACGATGGCAGAAGGAGCTCCGCCCTCGAAGATCCAGAAACTGGAGGAAGTTAAAAGTTGTGGGCAGTCAGTCGCAGAGCTTCCTGCGTTTGCAGACAGCAACGATGAGCTAGAGAAGAGCGAAGAGGAGGACGAGGGTGAAGATGAGAGCGAAGAGGAGAACGAGGTTGGGCGAGCAGAAGACTCTGGACATTGTTCTGAAGAGGAGGAAGAAGAATCTGCAGATGAAGAGGTCAACACTGATGGTGAGAGTGAGGAAGACGAGGAGCAGGGTGGGTCCTTGGTTTGTTTCTTTATGAAGATTTGTTTGGTTTATGTAATCTCAGATATTATTTTTTCATCTGTTCAGCCACCGTACCAGACGATCAGTGAGACCTTCTGCAGAACAGAAGAATACATATTCTGTGGAGGCAGTCTTTGTATGCCAGCTGCTGCTGGCTCTTGTCTTTCTCCTCTTCCACCTTAGTGAATGTAACGCTTGAGTTTTCCATGACAGACTTACGGATGCACGGTGCACCAAAGCTGCAGCTGGAACACAACCGACTTCCTGCGTGTCTGTTTTCTGGGGTTAAAGGGCACGAGCAGACTAGGTTTAAGGGGTTTTCATGCTCTTCATCAGCTGGTTTCAGCTTTTTGGTTTGCCTTCCCAGGGGCTCTCAGATGGAAGGAGGATCTGCAGCAGAAGGCAGCCGAAGCGTTTCTACGGCAACAAGAAGCTGCCCCCAACCTCAGTAAAGTGGTTTATGGTTCAGGTAGAGTGGGTTTCAGTCAGACTAACTAATTAGTGTCTAAAACTTTCATCTACAGCTTGTGTTGTTTTGTCGTGTAGTTGTAGAAGCAGTTGATTCTGATGAAGAGGATGAGGAACTGGGGGGGCTTTTTCGAGTCAGTCGCCCTCACAAGAGCAAAAGGTTACAGACAAACTCTGTAGACTGCTCCCGTTTCCCTCCCGACTCCTCCCTTAACTGGAATTTGGAAGAGGTAAGGCGATTCCTGCAAAACAAGCTAGCTTCGGACATTTTTTCTTGCCTCATAACAACATTCTAACATATTGTAGCTATAAATATATTGAGAAGATAAAAAACATCCATCCGTTTACCCATTCTCTTCCGCTTATCTGAAGTCGGGTCGCGTGGGAATCAGCCTAAGAGGCCCAGACTTCCCTCTCCCCAGCCACATATTTAAAGCTCAGTTTGCTCCACTGGTTTACTGTGATGCTCACCTGTTCCAGCCAGATACCTGCATCATGGGACTGATCTGAGCTGAGGAGGAGACTCCTGTTGTTTTGTTCATCTTCATCATAATAATGACAACATTAGATGACAACAGGTGCTCACATAGGTTTGTGCTGATGAACATGTCTGAGCAGCTTGACCACGTTGTTGTGTGTCGGGGAGGAAAAATAACAACTACAGCAGCCACAGAGTCGTGCTGGTTTGAGCATGTCGCTGCTCGCTGGAGTTATATCAGCTCTGTCTGGAAGTTAGCTGGAAAACTTTCTCTTTCAGTCGTGAACACATTACTGAGAATCTCCGTTTCTGGGCTTCAACGTCAGAAAACAGCTGAGTGAACTTGGCGCTGAGTGAGAGGAGTGTTTAGTTTGTCAGAGACAGCGGAGCTGCAGACACCGGCAGCAGGCGCTGAAAAAACACAAAGGAGGGGGCGCGTCGGCTCCGCGCTGACGCCGCAAAGCATCATGGGAGTTGAAGTCTTTGCGGTAAAATCGGCCAGCGGGCCAGTTTTAATATATTTTTGATATTTATCTCGCGGGCCACATAAAAATGCTCCGCGGGCCGCATCTGGCCCACGGGCCTTGAGTCTGACATATGTGCTCTAATGGAAGGTGTGAGTTTGCTGTCAGCAGTGGGTGTGTTGGCCCTGGTCGGCCTGAAGCAGACCCCCTCGAGAAGAGGGCTGAGAATGAGCCTTGGTTGGCCCGGAAAAATACCAGGCCACCCAGATATGTAAACAACCTACGCTACCCGGCCCGGGCCGACCCGGTACAGATGGGAATGGTCCATTAGGCTCCCTATTCCCCACAAGGCCCTGCCCCTCCCAGAAGTTCTCCTAAAATAAAAATCCATCCTCAAACGCCCGCATCTTGAGTTTGTCATTCACACGTTCATAAACCCCAGTCTGGATTACACACATTTTATCCTGATTGGCATTAATGTATCTGCCTTAGGCAGAGTACAGAAAGTTCAAAATGCTGTTGCCAAATTTTTAACTTAACACCGACAGCGGCATGCGCGTTACACCAATTCTTGCTGATTTACTCTGGCTTTCGGTTAAATTTAGGATTAATCTCAAAGTCCTGCTACACGGCTTTGATTTGCCCATCGTATCTGCGAACAAACGCACTTCCACATTTCCCTGGGTCATGCAATCATTACACATTCACATATTTAGCAACAGAAGTTCTCCACTCAAAAATATCAGAGGAGGAGAAACAGCCGGCTGCTACCACTTCAACTTTAGGACAAACTACCAGTCTCAAAAAAGAAAAACACAATTTGAAGTAACGGACAACAAAGACGTCTTGACCTAGAAAACAGCAACTTGTGCTTATCACTATGCGGGTTTCGGTGTTAGGCGGGCGTGGCCCAGGGATGATGGCCGATGGGAGGGGTAAGACTTCTGCTTACAGAAGCTAGCTTGTTTTACAGATATGCTACTGCAGCTTTGATTTGTCAGAAGGGTTTTTGCGGTTGACCTGATCAAAGGCTTCAGAAGATCTGTTCAGGGGGAATGTCAGAACCATGCTTTTGTTTGGAGCCCAGCAGATTATCCAGGAAGGAGATGTACTCGGTCGCTCTATCAAGCCAGACTCTATACGAGGAATCCGGCTCACTGTGTTGTGATTCCAGATTCTGGATTCAATCAGGGACTGTTTTGTGACTGGAAAGTGGGAGGAAGGCCAAGATGCTGCAACTCTCCTGAAGCAGGATGGTGAGAAGAGTTTAGACACACGTGTACATTCATTCACAGAGAGAGGTAGTAGACGTTATTTTAACCTTAATGTGATTGTAAAAATGAAGTGTGATTGTTATTTTATTTAGATGAGCTGTATGGAGACTTTGAAGATATGGAAACAGGAGAAGTCCACAAGAGCCAAACAGCAGGGCAGCAGGAGGAGGAGGAGGTATGGGGTGTCCTTCTTCTTGGAGTTGCAGGCCTAATTATAGTTGGACGACTTCTGTTAAGTTATTTGCCTTGTGGACCATGTGATCAGGAAAATGGTGAGAGTGATGAAGGTGAAGAGATCCAGGTGAGGATGGAAGATGAGGAGGTTCAGAAGAACAAGCGCTTGGAGAAGAAGCGCCGTCTCAAGGAACGATTCAATGCAGAATATGATGACGGTGATGCCACGTACTTCGATGACCTGAAGGAAGAGATGCAGAAGCAGGCTGAGGTAGACAACTGCATGGTTCATGGATTCATGATGTTCTCCTCTCAGACACCTGAGCCTGGTTTTGTCTCCAGCTAAACAGAGCAGAGTTTGAAGAGATGGACGATGAGACCAGAGTGCAGTACGAAGGCTTCCGGCCTGGAATGTACGTCAGGGTGGAAATCCTTTCTTTGCCCTGTGAATTTGTTGCAAACTTCGACCCCCATTATCCCATCATCCTTGGCGGTCTGGGCTCCAGCGAAGGCAATATAGGATACCTTCAGGTATGTTCAGAATGTGCATTCATGCTGGTGAAGTTGTCTTCTCAGAATGAAAATGATCATCCCCAGATGGTCCTGGTCTTCTTTTACTCCGAGTACCGGTACTGGGGGCTGTAGGGATGTAAAACCGCTCAGTCCCACGTCGGCAATGAGAATAATCTGGAGCTGAAAACTGATCCAGATCAGTAGGAAAAGTGTTTGTTTTGTGTGTGACTGAAATGTTCTTAAGTCTATGAAGACTGGAAGAACAGAGAACCTGAGGGACACTCACTTCTGTGTGTGTGTGTGTGTGTGTGTGTGTGTGTTTTCAGCTGCGACTGAAGAAACACAGATGGTATGACCGTATCCTGAAGACCAGAGACCCCCTCATTTTCTCTCTAGGTTGGCGACGCTTCCAGACCATCCCTCTTTACCACATCGAGGATCACAACGGACGCCACCGCCTACTGAAGTACACGCCACAGCACATGCACTGTGGAGCCTCCATCTGGGGTGAGGAACATCAGCTGCTCTACAGCTCTTCACTGATGTACACTGTTGATTTTATGATCTCTGAGTAACTATTTCTCAAGTATTTGTTTGTATCACACACTGCTCAGCCTCTCCCTAGAAGGTCTAGTCCAGCAGGAGCAATAGTTCAGTTTAAAAAGGTTTCTACAGACATTAACACACACACACACACACAGATGAAACACTGATGGCTTCTTGGTGAGCTGCATCACTGCACGGTATAGCAGCTACACCTGTGCAGACCAGCAGGTGGTGCAGTGGTTGGAGAAAATGACCCGAAGCATCGTTGAAGGTTGCTATTACAAGTTACTCAGAGCTGATGGAGCTCACGGAGATGAGCCGATCTGGAACAAAAGACTTGCTACCCTACGTTTATGGAGAACCTCAGAGTTTTAGAAAATTCAGGCGCCGAATATTTTCAGCCAAAATGACCCAAATATGCATTTTCGGTTTTGAGCCAAAACACCTAAATCACCAAAACAACACAGCTAAAATAGGCCGTCAGGTGAGCCCCGTTCTCATTTCATCTTGCTCTGCCCTCATGTGGCAGTGTTCTCTTCGCTCTTCGTGAATATCGTACATTCGTACCAATTTAAAAAGTAACGTTTTTCCCTTTTAGTAATGCTGTTTTATTAGGATCGCTGGAATATTCGTATCAGTTATGTGACAGACTTTCACTTTCAGTTTCACATGTAACACGTCTGCTTCTTATTTTCCTCTTCTTAACGCTCCCCCTACCTCTGTCACTGTTCGCGGTGCTTTTACCATCCATTCTGCACCCACCATGTCCTGACCACGGTTACCTTCGTTCTCACTGGATGAGTGAATATCTTCATCAGAGGGGGGAAAATTCCTCTTCAGAATCAGAGTTGGCCATTACAAGACAGAGCTTTGTCACCAATGAACAGACCTGTCAGCATTCCATGGTTTCCCCTCTATGTGCTGCACTCGTCTCCTCTCCTCGGAGGGGGCCCCATATGCTACCAACCTTTCCATAAGCACCCTTCACTGCAAGGCCCGTCTTCTCTAACTTAAGAAATGACATAACTGAAGGGGGCTTAGCAAAGGCAGGCCAAATACAGGCCAGTATTTTAGCATGAGTGGGAGTAGATAGGATGGGATCCACTGGAAGCCCCAAAATAGCTAGTAAGTGGTTTATGCAGAGTCCAGAGAGCCCCAGAAGGGACAACCGATTACTGGCTTCAGAAGCCAAGGAGTTGCGGACATGAGTAGAACATGTGACTCAGGTAACATGGAGTGGCTTGACATCTCTCACACCAATCCATCGACAGGCGGATTGGGGCAGCATCTGCAGTGATGCGGACGCTAAACCGGACTGTTATGGTGAAGAAGGAGCTGAGCCGGAAAGCAAGGTTCTCGATTTACCAGTCGATCTACCGCCCAGTCCTCACCTATCGTCATGAGCTTTAGGTAGTGACCGAAAGAACAAGACCGCGGACACAAGCGGCCAAAATGAGTTTTCTCTTCCCTTAGGACATTCGGGAGAGACTCGGAGTAGAGTTGCTGCTCCTCCATATCGAGAGGAGTCAGTTCTGGTGGTTTGGGCATCTTGTTAGGATGCCTCCTGGACACCTCCCCAGGGAGGTGTTTCAGGTATGTCCTGCCGGCAGGAGGCCCCCTCGTCAACTCAGGGCACGTTGGAGGAAGTACATCTCAGAACTGGCCCAGGAACGCTTTGGAGTCCCACCAGAGCAGCTGGTGGAGGCGGCCGGGGAGAGGACGGTCTGGAACTCCCTAGTTGGGATGCTGCCCCCGCGACCCGGACCCGGAAAGGCGGAAGAAGACGAGACGAGAAGATTTCAGATAGTTAGCTTTATATAGAACCTTAAACTGAAAAAGTGCTAACCTAGCACGTGATGCACCAAAACAGATGTCGGACATGGCGGCATCCCATTGTTGATCTGAAAATGTTATATCCAACTCGTGTTCCCAAGCTCTTCTAACTGCAACCACTGAATGGACATCCAAGTCCATAAGTTTGTAATTGAGGCCTTGCTTAGCCTCCCGCCGGGCCAAGCGTCCCCACCCCCGCTCCGCCTGCTGTCAAATATGATGCATGGTAACAAAATGAACCGCACGCCCCTCCTCCACTGCCATGAACGAGGCGTGGTAGCAATGCAGCCCGCCAGCCAATTTTGTCTGAATATTTTTGAAAAACAACCAAAAACCCATCCGGGCCCGGTGTCTTACCATTCTTCATGTCAATAACATGTATAAGTTCATCTAACCCAGCAGTGCAGGCTGAGCACTCCTGTCGATGGTACAAACCGTCTTCAACCAACGATCCAACAGAACCACTTTTAAACAAAATACAAAAAAGGCCTCGACCCTTTGGAACCATTGTTTTGATAAAATCCTCAACGTCCTTTGGTGAGATCCAACCACGTTGCACCCCTTGATACTTGATGCAAAGTTTAGCCGGATGAAAGATGCCAAACGGAGCTCAATGCTCCGAAGCTGGCACCTAATGTTGTTGAAAACTGCTCGAACCTGTGCCATCTTGACGATGTGATCAGGGAAGACAGATGTCCATATTATGTATCCTAACCTGTCGCAGATTCCTGGTCTCCTGAAAAATCTTGGCAGAATTCCTGTAACCGTGTAAATGGACAATCATGGCGCAAGGGCACCCCCTGGCGGCAGGCCTCGGGGCCAACGATCGATGAAGTCTGTCCACCAACAGTTCTTTCTGGAGCTGAGAAGCCTCCATCAGGAGTGTAGACACATCCGCAGCAGATAGAACACTAAGTGTGTGTTGTTGGATGAGTCTGCCCCACAAACAGCATTAGAAGTTTATCTTTGAGAGCCAAACACTGCAGTAAGTAAGTAAAAGTTTATTTATATGGCGCCTTTCACAGATATAAATCACAAAGTGCTGTACAACATGATAAAGATCAGGGCAAATACCTCTAACCAATAAAAACATCAGAAAAACAATAGCAGTGATAAACGTAGAAAATAAAATCATGAGTATAAACAAAGTGAAGGTGTGAACCAGAACAAAGCCGTCTTTTTGAAACATTTAGGGAGGGAACGCCTGGATGAAAAGGTGAGTTTTTAGATGATTTTTAAAGACCTCTACAGTGTTAGAGAGACGGAGATTAGAAGGTAGACTGTTCCAAAGTCTGGGGGCAATAGTCTGAAAGGCCCTGTCCCCTTTGGTTTTCAGTCTGGTTCGAGGAACAGCCAGGAGGTTTTCAGATGTGGATCTAAGTTTCCGAGAGGTGGTGTGTGGGGATAAAAGCTCAGATAGGTAGCTTGGAGCCTGGTTGTTAAGAGCTCTATAGGTCAGGACTAAAACTTTAAACTGTATTCTATATTCTACCGGGAGCCAGTGGAGGGACTGTAAACCTGGAGTGATGTGAGCTGTCACACTTGCATCCATGAAATGTGTATTAAAACAGTTGTTTGGATGTCATCTTCCGTCTCTTTTATCCCACCGGATGCCCTGGAACAACCCCGTTTATTCCAGGACTGTTTCTCCGCAGGTCCCATCACCCCACAGGGATCAGGGTTCCTGGCTCTGCAGTCGGTGGCAGGAACTAAAGTAAGTTTTACTCACTCACAGGTAAACGTCAAGCTTTTTTACTAAGCTACGAATAAAACACTTCAGATGTCTACAGTTATCTCTAAAAGGGTGAAGTTTCTGGTTTTATTGCCCTAAGCTTATTTTAAGCCTAATTTATCCTCCATAAGCTCAGGTGTGAAGTCACACACACACACACACACACACACACACACACACATGCTGATTGAAAGATTTTCCCTGAGGACTTTTCCAGGTTGCGCTTTTCTGGGAATGTCCTACCTTCACTGCAGTCACGTCGCTAGTGTGTTTACACTCGACTTATTTCAGAGACTTGTGGACAGCTCCGCCCCCTTTTCTCCTTCAACTCTCCCAGCAGTCTGCACCTCCAAACACACTTTTCCTGTCTTTTCCATCCACAGATATGTTTGCTGCATACTGCTCCCGTCACAGGTGTATAGTTGTTAACTTTTTCCACAAGACGTTCTTCGTCTGCTCCGTGTCCGCTGCTAGATGTCTTCGGCACTAGTTTTATTCTTTCGAGGGGGAATGGCGGTGCTGTTGGCGAATTTAAGGGAGGCGGCATCACAGGCTTGCGGTCTTTGTCACTTTTGACGGACAGTTAAAAATCGGGCATGTCTCCATCACCCTCGGCTGGTCTGTTGCGGAGTCCTTGAATCCATCAATTCCCAATGCTCATGATCATAAGTCAGTGTCACATTGCAGGTCCTGCTGTCACTTTGTTCTGATGTAATGTTCAGGCTATCGGACAAGCAGTCATTCGACCCCTTTCCTGCACGTAGAGTGAGTCGCTGCTGATAACACGGAGCAACAAACAAGAGAAAGTGGACAGGGCTCAGGTGTGGAAATCATCCTCAGCTGGAAAGAATCTGTTCCCGTAGTTTTGCAAAGTGTGCAAAATGATTCATGAAGTTATTTCTGGTGTTCGTATCTCCGAGTCGGGAGCGTGCTGGATAGGACGCACAGAACCAGCTAAACCTCGATTCCCACCAGCGCTGTGTGGAAACTTTTATGTTTTACGTCGGTGAGAAAAACATGAAAGCATCGTGTCGTTGCTTCCTCGCCCTGTTTGTGAGTGACAACAGGAAATGATACAAGGGATGATCCGATCATGTGATCATCAAAGGATCCAGAATCAGATCCAGTCAGATCAGATTTAATTTCATAAAACAGCCAACATGTGTCCTGCCTGGCCGTAGAGCCATTCTGAACAGTTTTAAAGGTACGTTTATATTCTGTCGACAGCCCGTAGACAGAGCTCAGTCGTGGGGGAGAATCTGCGCTTCCTCTGCATGCTGTTGAGCAGCGTTGGGACCTATCAGAGCAACAAACTGTGTGATGTATTCATCGCTACAGAAATCAGTCAGGCAACTGGCGATGTGCCGTCAAACGAGTCCTTTTTTAAAACCATTGGCTCGAGTACCTAACCTAACCTACAACACCCAACGGGAATCTGACACTGTGGAATGTAATCACAGTTTCTACTCTTCCCATTTTACTGATTTTTTAATATTGTTTTTAATTAACTATTATTTTATTTAATTACATTAAGTTATATTTAGGCCCTTGTGAAATGACTCGTGATTTTGCTTGTGATGCTCTGGATAAAGATGGTGTATTATTATTACTAAGCATTTGTCGGAGCGTGCTCTCTGGAGTAAACACGTTTCCATGAACGCACTGACAGGAGATCTGTCTGAAGCTGTGCTGGGATTTGGGACCTGTTGCAGAGAGACAGACAAACCGCCTGAACCTTATACCAGTCCGTATTCTACTTTACTACTAGGAGAACCTCCTTTGCTCCCCAGTCACACACACGTTGTCAAGGTAACCAGACTGAATGACAGCTCAGAAGAGACTGCACTCTCAGACATTTCCAAACAAGGTGAGGGTCAAGGCCTGGGTGGAGACGTATTTCATCCACACTTCCTGTTAGGAAAACGCTTCTGAAAGAGGCGTCGGCTGGCGGGCCGAGAGAGCGGCACTGAGGCGGTGGTAGACCGCCCCCCTCTCATTTTACATTTAGAGAGCACTTGCTCTGTAAACAACAACCCAGTTTTTATTTATGCCTGACGGGAACCTGTCCTCTGTCCCAGCTGCGTTTATAACCTCTTCAACTTGTTTGGTTCTTTCGCACTTCGACAGCCAGAGTCACGATCTCGCAACAAAGTTTTCTTTATTTTATTTTATTTTTTCAGGTAGAACCATTGACATAAACTTATATGGACAATGGGTTTCCATAGACTCCAATAACACGTTTTTGGGGCTAAATGGGAGGTGGCCACCACCGCCATTTTGACTGTGTCACAGGTTTCGTCAAGCCCAGACAATTCCACAAAAGGGAAGAGAGGAGGAGCTGAGGGTGGGGCTGTAAGGCTGGGATCGACTGACGACACCCGGTCGAACTAGCTACAAGCTAACCTGAAGCTAACATGGAGGTGGGAGCTAAGCTAACGGAGGTAGCAACCTAGCTACAACTGGAGTTAACTGTGCACAACACCAGAGCTTCTGAGTCAGAGCTACACCGGGCTGACCGCTGGGTAAAACCGGGTGGAACACAGAGGTCTCCGAGACCTCCACAATCCGGCAGCCGCGCAGCAGACAAGCACCGCTGCGATCTGAGATGAGCAGAGCTGCCGCTGGGTAAAACCGGGTGGAAAGGTTTCCATCCCAGAGCTCCACAAGCCGGCAGGCCACGCAGCAGACAGAAGACGCGATCAGACAGAGATGCGCTGAGCTGCGGGGAGGGGATAAGGGTGGAAAACATCGGTCTCCCGAGAGCTCTACAAGCCGATAGTGGGAACCCAGCTCCACCAACATGTTATATTTCAACCCATTTTCTAAAGTGCAGCATTATGTTAAATGCACTGGGTTTTACCCTATTACATTTAAATTTCATGGTTAAACAGTACATGTTAACATCTAAGCTCAGCTCGGCAGTGACCTAAAATACATAAATATAATTTTACTTACCGAAAAAAATGAAGTGGAGACTCCTTGGACGCTCTATTAGGCAATTAATGCCACAGCAAGTCATTTTGTCCAACAATTGCACAAAAATATCCAAACAAGAATACACAAGCACAGAGACTCAAAATCCCGGAGCAGTTTCCAGGCCAGACCGAGGCTCTACTGAGGCCTTTCCACGGAGCTAGCTCTGTGGTCACGTGGGTCTGATGCTCATTAATTATACAGAATTTTAGGCTTTTAATACACTTAAACAGAAGAGTGAGAAAAAAATTCACCCCCCTCAGAGTTGTCATGAGTGTAAACTAGATCATTTAAACCAAAAACATGTTCTGGTACCAGGCTGTAAACATGTTTATTTCTGCTGTGAAATTGGTATTTTTAACATGGGAGTCAATGAGGATTTGCTCGCTTCTGACACCAGCCCCTAGTGGATGAGGGTGGAACTGCAATTTATTTCACTTCCGCATTGGCCTCAATTTCTGTCCCGCATTGTGGGGGGTTGGGTAGAACGCAGGGAATCCCCTCACGTGCTGAGGATGTAGCGTGACCAAATATGGTTAATTGAGGGCGTTCCTTTATGTAAATGACTGGGAACGGACATGAGCACCTGTGTACGCACCGGGGGGATTTATCATCAGATGATTGCGGCGAAACATGCGTACGAGAGGCCACTGCATGTTTCATAAATCAGGATCTTGACCGTTCATACGAACATTCTAAATTTAGTTCATAGGAAGGAATATAGGAATATTTCTGCTAATGTTTGAAGAGTGAGGCCCTTGCAGAGCAAAATCTTTTGCTTCCCTACAAAGTTCTGAAAGTTGTCGTTCTCCTTTACAGTTCAGGGTATCCGCGGGTCCTTAAAAAGTCTTAAAAAGCCTTAAATTAGCTTTTCCAAATTTAAGGCCTAAAAAATCCTTAAAAATTACAAATAATCCTTAAATACAGTTTCCAAAGGTCTTAAATGACCAAAGACCCAATAAACAAGATTCTTTTATTTCTATAAAATTTTCGTGAATTTCTACTTGGTGTTCAGCGTTTTTTGTGTACGTTGTTGGCGTAAGCGGAACCGTACACATTCAGTTGGTTGTGAAAGGGGGCTATTTTTAGATGAGCACGTTAGCTGGATAAGCTAGTGGGAGCTTGCACCATGGGGAAGTGCAAGTTTAATGGTAACTGGATAGCTAATCCCACGATCGTGGCATGGTTAGCACCGGTTCCAGGCAACAGCTGGAAATTATAGCTAAAATGATAAATGACCCGCACTTGTACAGCGCCTCTCAGAGTCAGGACTCCAAAGCGCTTTACACTACAGTGTATCATTCATCCATTCACACACATCCATGATGTAGCCACAGCTGCCCTGGGACGCACTGACAGAGGCGAGGCTGCCGAGCACAGGCGCCACCGGTCCCTCCGACCACCACCAACAGGCAAGGTGGGTTAAGTGTCTTGCCCAAGGACACAACAGCAGAATTCTCTGTCTGGAGCCGGGATCGAACCTGCAACCTTCCGATTACTGGACAACCCGCTCAACCTGTTGAGCTACTGCTGCCCTGCTTAAATAGCTTAAATTTGGTCAAAGTGGCCTTAAAAAAGGTCTTAAAAAGTCTTAAATTTGGCTCCCTTAAACCTGCAGATACCCTGCAGTTGTACAGTAATGTGTGTTCTCTGCAGGCTCACTTTCGCATCGCTGCAACAGGAGTTGTTCTGGACCTGGACAAATCGGTTACAATCGTGAAGAAGCTGAAACTAATCGGATATCCGTACAAAATCTTCAAAAACACCTCCTTTATTAAGGTGGGAGGACTCATTTCTTCTGGAAACAGATTTCAGTTTTTATAGACAAGTCAGAACTGGATCTGTTGCATCAGTAATACAGATCAGATGCTGTGTGTTCGTTGGTTTGGTACTCATCATCAGTGTGTCTTCACAGGGCATGTTCAACACAGTGTTGGAGGTGGCCAAATTTGAAGGAGCCTCAATACGAACAGTGTCAGGGATCAGAGGTCAGATCAAGAAGGCGCTGTCTACACCTCCTGGAAGTTATCGAGCTACGTTTGAGGACCGTCTGCTGATGAGTGGTGAGTTGTAATTAAACTTGTTAGAGGACCACGTGTGTTGTGTCTAAGTCTAGATGTCCAGAAATGATAAAAGGTCAAGACCAACTGATGAAGCAAAGCTCCTTTAACATGTTTTTGTACGACCAAAAAAATGACTGACTATAACTGTCTGCTAGTGAACCTAAGCTCCTCTAGATTCTGACACAAAAGTGTAAATGTGCACAACAGATTATATTAACTATGTCAGTAAACTGGTTAAAGTAAATTCAGGCTCTGGTTCAATTCAATTCACGTTTATTTATAAAGCACCAAATCAGGACAAGAGTCGTCTCAAGGCCCTTCACACAGTAAACGTTCCAATACAGGTCAGTTCATTAAGCCAATCAGTAAAATGTTTCCTATACAGGTCCTTCTCAGAAAATTGATATATTGTGAATTGTGATAAAGTTCATTATTGTCTGTAATGTACTGATTAACATTAGACTTTCATATATATTAGATTCATTACACACAACTGAAGTAGTTCAAGCCTTTTATAGTTTCTAATATTGATGATTGTGGCGTACAGCTCATGAAAACCCAAAATTCCTATCTCGAAAAATTAGCATATTTCATCCGACCAATAAGAGAAAAGTGTTTTTAGTACAAAAGAAGTCATCCTTCAAATAATTATGTTCAGTGATGCACTCAATACTTGGTCGGGAATCCTTTTGCAGAAATGACTGCTTCAATGCGGCGTGGCATGGAGGCAATCAGCCTGTGGCTCTGCTGAGGTGTTCTGGAGGCCCAGGATGCTTCGATAGCGGCCTTAAGCTCATCCAGAGTGTTGGGTCTTGCCTCTCTCAACTTTCTCTTCACAATATCCCACAAATTCTTTATGGCAGGGGAGTCAAACTCAAACTCACACGGGGCCGAAATGAAACTCTGGGACGGAGTCGAGGGCCAAACTTAATATTTTTGAAAAAGTGACGGCAAATTTGCACATTTTCTTTATCAACATTTATGCAATTTTGGACCTTTAAATTTGGAAACAAACATATTTCTGCATTAACACTGAATGTGGAATAACCAAATTACACACGAGCAAGTCAGTTTTAAATAAAAGGCATCAGTGGTATTCATTACTTGTGGTATAATCAGCATTTTTAAAATCTATTCAGGATTTATGTTTTCTTGTTTATTCATTTTTCTTATTTTTTTATTCTCCTTTTTTTCTCCTGTAATACGTGTCATCGCTGCTGTGACGTCTAGCTTTCCCCACTGAGGAACAATAAAGGGATTTTCTATTCTATTCAGATGAATAGATATCTGCAGCCTTTCCACTTCCTGTTTACTGTAGGTTAAATCTTTTCTCACGGGCCAGCAACAAAATAAATTAAAGCTGCAAGCAGCGTCGTTCGGCCCTCGCAGTGAAGCTGCTCGCCCTCTGTCCGCACCCCCTCCGCTCCATCCCCGACGTTCTCCAAACCCATCTCCGCGCCGCTCCGTCCTGGCCGGCAGCCGGGGGCACCAGGGCACGTCTGGCGGAACAGAAACGTCAACCACCCCGACACCAGAAACCGTGAACGGCCTCCTCGTCCACACCTCACCCTGACTCAGCATCCCCTCTGAGACCACCATTACACGTCTCACCACTAGGAGATACTCTATCTTTACCACACTGGTGATGTGATGTTCAGTCTCGGGCAAATCGGAAGCTTCTTGTGGAAGTTACAGTCAAACGTAAGGTCACAGCGTCACGCCAGAATTTGCCTTTTCATCAAAGCCCCTCCCTTTCTGAAAAGCTAGCAGATCTGAATGGTCATTACAGCATCATGAAGACAGTGCATGACCTTAGTGTCATGTTGACTAAATTAGAGGGGACAAATATGGGCATTTCACCATAAAACAGTAGACTTCCTGTAGTCAGGGGGCGGGGCTTAGGTGATGTCAGCTGTCCACATTGTCACTGTCTTCAGATGTGGTCAGTGATCACACAGACAAAGTTTGAATTTGATCTGATCATGCACATGGGAGTTATTAAGTCAAGTAACGTAATGGCGACTGGTCAAAGTTTGAGGCTTAGCCACGCCCACACCTTTATACTTATTTAAAATCCGACGGTTGAATTTTTTCCTCTACGTCTTAAGAGTATATAGCAGGAGTTTGAAGGTGATCGGTGGAAAGGACGACGAGACATCATTCTCCTAATAACGTGTGCGAAAACCACTAAATCGAGTACTTGGACCAAAATGGCCGACCTCATGTGCGACATTGCGCTTGGCTCCAAGAGACTTTTTTGTACATCCTGAGACACTACATTAGTGTGCCAAATTTCGTGATCCTTCGTCAAATCATGGCTTGGGGCTGACAGTTTTAATGGTTCTAGGGGGCGCTATTTCAGGAAATAGGCCACGCCCACAATCTTCAGCTGTCTATTTCTATTGGGGGGTCAGACTAGGATCACTCACCAGAAGCTTCGTAGCTATATCGCCATAACTGAAGAAATGAGAAGCAAACGTATTTCCTTGGCGTGATGGCGATTTTTGCCATGCTCCCAAAGCCCCGCCTTTTTTCGAAACCTGCCATTACTGGAGACCAAGTGACCTCACGTTTTCTACTGCTGTTTGCCAGAGATTCCTGCTGATTTGGTAAAAGGAGTCCAGTAGGGAGCTGTGAAAAAAAGAGTGGCGTGGCGACAGGTCAAAGTTTGAGGCTTAGCCACGCCCACACCTTTCAACTTTTGAAAAATCCGACGGTTGAATTTTTTCCCCTATGACTTAAGAGTACATGGCAGAAGTTTGAAGTAGATTGGTGAAAAGGGCGACGGAGCATCACTCTCCAAACAACGTGTGCGAAAACCACTAAATCGCGTACTTGGACCAAAATGGCCGACTTCCTGTGCGACTTTGCGCTTGGGTCCAAGTCACTTTTTTGTAGGTCTTGAGACACCACATTAGTGTACCAAATTTCGTAATCCTCAGTCAAAGCATGGCTTGGGGCTGACAGTTTTAATGGTCCTAGGGGGCGCTATTTCAGAAAATAGGCCACGCCCACCGGATGTTCACATCAGATCTTTTGGGGGACCGGACTAGGATCACTCACAAGAAGTTTCGTGATGATATCTTTAGAAAAGACGAAATGGGAGTCAAACGTAAGTCCACGGCGGTACACCTGACTTTGCCGCGCCGCCGCAGCCCCGCCCTCTGCCAAAAACTCCCATAAAGTGACGCCAAGCAACCCCCACTTGTCTTGAGTTACCAGCTACAAATTTTTGGTGATTAAGTGAAATGGGGCAATTTGGGACCTTTCAAAGTAAAACTTGACCTTTTTGGTCCTGAGGGGGCGGGGCTTGTGTGATGTCATCATCTGACCATTCAATTTACTTTGTGGGTGGATGGCGAATGACCACAGAAGGTTTGGTAACTCTATTCCATTCAGTTATGAAGTTATAGCAATTTAAAAAATTTTGGCGAGTAGTCAAACTTCGAGGCCTGGCCCCGCCCCTTCAACATATACGAAAACTCAGAATCCTTGTCTCATTTTGTTCGCCCATCCCTTCTGAGCAATTTTACACAATTTTTGAGACGATCGTGCGAAAAATGATCGAGCAATCCAATCAGAAACGGACCCTAAAAACGGCAAAAACTGCAAAAAATCGCCATTTCAACCCAAAATGGCCGACTTCCTGTTTGATATTGACTATGGTTGCAAGAGACTTTTCTGTGCGGACTGTTGAGTACTACAAGTGTACCAAATTTCATAACTGTACGATAAACTAAGCTTTATGGAGAGGTTTTTTTTTTTTCACTTTCTAGGGGGCGCTATTCAGCCATTTTCTTTGTGATTTTTTTTGGGACCTTTAAAATATCAAATTTTTCACCAGGCCTGACAAGTTTGCAAAATATTGTGAGTTTTGGGGTATGTTAAGGTCCCCAAAAAGCCGTTCAAAGCGGGCTAAGAATAACAAAAAAGAAAGAATAATCAGAGCAAAAACAAGAGGCCTTCGCAGCCCTTTCGCTGCTCGGGCCTAAATATCATTTTATCTTAAATGAAAATGCAACATCTCACCTGTTAACTTTCATGATTTGGAGCAGAAAAAGAGCATAAAACCAACATATTTAAAGCTCAGTTTGCTCCACTGGTTTACTGTGATGCTCACCTGTTCCAGCCAGATACCTGCATCATGGGGTTGATCTGAGCTGAGGAGGAGACTCCTGTTGTTTTGTTCATCTTCATCATAATAATGACAACATTAGATGACAACAGGTGCTCACATAGGTTTGTGCTGATGAACATGTCTGAGCAGCTTGACCACGTTGTTGTGTGTCGGGGAGGAAAAATAACAACTACAGCAGCCACAGAGCCGTGCTGGTTTGAGCATGTCGCTGCTCGCTGGAGTTATATCAGCTCTGTCTGGAAGTTAGCTGGAAAACTTTCTCTTTCAGTCGTGAACACATTACTGAGAATCTCCGTTTCTGGGCTTCAACGTCAGAAAATAGCTGAGTGAACTCGGCGCTGAGTGAGAGGAGTGTTTAGTTTGTCCGAGACAGCGGAGCTGCAGACACCGGCAGCAGGCGCTGGAAAAAACACAAAGGACGGGGCGCGTCGGCTCCGCGCTGACGCCGCAAAGCATCATGGGAGTTGAAGTCTTTGTGGTAAAATCGGCCAGCAGGCCAGTTTCAATATATTTTTTATATTTATCTCGCGGGCCACATAAAAATGCTCCACGGGCCGCATCTGGCCCGCGGGCCTTGAGTCTAACATATGTGCTCTACGGGGTTCAGGTCAGGAGAGTTGGCAGGCCAACTGAGCACAGTAATACCATGGTCAGTAAACCATTTACCAGTGGTTTTGGCACTGTGAGCAGGTGCCAGGTCGTGCTGAAAAATGAAATCTTGATCTCCATAAAGCTTTTCAGCAGATGGAAGCATGAAGTGCTCCAAAATCTCCTGATAGCTAGCTGCATTGACCCTGCCCTTGATAAAACACAGCGGACCAACACCAGCAGCTGACATGGCACCCCAGACCATCACTGACTGTGGGTACTTGACACTGGACTTTAGGCATGTTGGCATTTCCCTCTGCCCAGTCTTCCTCCAGACTCTGGCACCTTGATTTCTGAATGACATGCAAAATTTGCCTTCATCTGAAAAAAGTACTTTGGACCACTGATAACAGTCCAGTGCTGCTTCTCTGTAGCCCAGGTCAGGCGCTTCTGCCGCTGTTTCTGGTTCACAAGTGGCTTGACCTGGGGAATGCGGCACCTGTAGCCCATTTCCTGCACACGCCTGTGCACGGTGGCTCTGGATGTTTCTACTCCAGACTCAGTCCACTGCTTCCGCAGGTCCCCCAAGGTCTGGAATCGGTCCTTCTCCACAATCTTCCTCAGGGTCCGGTCACCTCTTCTAGTTGTGCAGCGTTTTCTGCCACACTTGTTCCTTCCCACAGACTTCCCACTGAGGTGCCTTGATACAGCACTCTGGGAACAGCCTATTCGTTCAGAAATGTCTTTCTGTGTCTTACCCTCTTGCTTGAGGGTGTCAATGATGGCCTTCTGGACAGCAGTCAGGTCGGCAGTCTTACCCATGATTGCAGTTCTGAGTAATGAACCAGGCTGGGAGTTTTCAAAAGCCTCAGGAATCTTTTGCAGGTGTTATTAGTTGATTCAGATGATTAGGTTAATAGCTCGTTTAGAGAACCTTTTCATGATATGCAAATTTTTTGAGATAGGAGTTTTGGGTTTTCATGAGCTGTACGCCAAAATCATCAGTATTAGAAACAATAAAAGGCTTGAACTACTTCAGTTGTGTGTAATGAATCTAATATATATGAAAGTCTGATGTTTATCAGTACATTACAGACAATAATGAACTTTATCACAATATGCTAATTTTTGAGAAGGACCTATATAAGGAACCCAGCAGGTTGCATCAAGTCACTGACTAGTGTCAGGGACTTTACAGCAGTTCTCATACTAAGCAAGCATTTGGCGGCAGTGGAGAGAAGAACAGGAAGTGTAGAACTGAAAACCATTTTGGCAGAAAATTCCTTCATCAGATTTAAAGTGCTCTAAACTGAGCAGAATCTGCCCAATTGCTGCCGTGTTCGTTAGACTTCACACGTAGGATATAAAATTAAAAACCCATTTAGACCTGTTAGGAAAAAAACCCTCTTTGTAAGAGTTTTGGTATTGATTTGTTTCTTGCAGACATTGTGTTCCTGCGTTCCTGGTACCCAGTGACCATTCCTCAGCTATACAACCCAGTCACTTCTTTGTTGAGGTCAGTAGGCCAGAAGGACAACTGGTCTGGAATGAGGACCGTAGGACAGCTCAAACATGACCTTGGAATCCGCAACAAACCCAACACTGACTCTTTGTACAAGGTAGGTAATGGTTGCCTATCATTAGAAAGCATTAAAAGTCGTTAGATTTATGTTGCCAAGATGAACCTTCTCAGTGGCATAGGGTTAGGGTTAGGGAGTCCATCCTGGGACTGGGAGATCGGGGTTCAAAGACCTTAACAATGGGACCCAATGCCTCCCTGCTTGACACTTGCTTTAAGGGGTTGGATTGGGGGTTAAAGCAGCAAATAATTCCTGAGCAGAGCCGCTGCTGCAGCTCACTGCTCCCCACTGGGATGAGTCAAATGTGGAGATAAATTTCACCAGTGTGTGATGACTAATGGTGCTTCAACTTTAAGGCCTTAAAGAGCGTTAAAGCTACAATGGTAAATCTGCAAAACAAGCTAGCTTAAAACATTTTTGTCATGCATCCTAAAAACGATCTAACATAGTGTAGCTATAAATATTTTGTGGAGACAAAAAAATAAAAACAACAAAATTAATGAAGTAGTTGCATTTGTCTGGAAACCTCAGCCAACAACGTGGCTCGCTCTGAAATCAACTATTGGACCATCCGTTGTCTGTTTCTCCAACCCGCTGTACTTCCGCATTTATAGCAGTAGCTCAGGCGGTAGAGCGGGGTGTCCAGTCATCAGAAGTTTGTGGCTTCGGTCCGACTCCCACCAGAGAGACCGTTTTGCTGTCGTGACAGCGGGGGAGGGGGTTTTAGCGCACGGAACGTTTCGTTTACCCCGCCGTAAGCCAATGGGTGGCTGAGGCCACGATTGCAAATATTTCGATGTGTCGTATTTCTGTGTGGCTTTCTCTGATCCGATTGTTTTCCCGCCTGTTTTCTTTCGTCTGCTATTGTTGGAAATAGAAGATTATTTTCACATTCAGCTGCATGTGAAGTGTTTAGTGACCAGTCGTATTTTAAAAAGAACAATAAAAAATGGTTTCTCAGTGAACTTGGTCTTAGGCTAAAAGTCTCCTCTAAACCAATCAGAGGTAGTGAAGGGTGGGAGCTGTCCTGGACGACAGCCAATCCTGTGAATGTTTACATGCGTATGCTAAGCTAAACAGAGCTCTGTTCAGCGGTACCATGAAGTGTTTTAGGTCAGTTTCTCACATGCTGGCTTGTTGTTTTCCTTTAGCCAATAGCAAGAGCCAAACGACGCTTCAACCCCCTCCACATCCCCAAGGAGCTCCAGAAGGCTCTGCCTTTCAAGAGCAAACCCAAATTCCAACAACCCAAAGGAAAGATGCCCAGGGATCTCAGGAGGCCCTGTGTGATCCGAGAGCCCCAGGAGAAGAAGGTGAGTTGGGGCGTAACGCTTTCTTTACTAGTTTTTTTTGACTGGGATTGATTTATTGGTATTCAGATTATCTTTTGCAAGGGAGTGCAGGGCACAATAGCAGCACACTAGATCCACAAAATGAAAACCGACAACAAGAAAGCAACTAGTTAAAAAGACGGCTGCACACTGAAAGCATCAGCGGTGCGGAACGGTTTCCTCGCACCAATCACTGCACTGGAGGTTCTCAGCAGCGGAGCGGCTTCTCCGTCATGCTCCTTGTTCCACTTGCGAGATCACAAATCACCTCGAGACTTCCACCATCCTCCTCACAAGGTCACATGATCGCCCAAGACTTCAAAGGTAACAGTTTGTTGATGCAATCTGCCAATGTTTGATGTCATATATGATGTCGACCCCCTCCAAACACACCGCTGCACTTCTGGAATGATGGGAGTAAATAAACCGTTGGGTTACACCTAAGCTTCATATATATGAAATTGTAACGTCGCTATACTTTTATTTTGAAAATTACCGGGGATTCCACACTGAGACTGTGTGTGATTTCCTGTGTAGCACTGTGTTAACTGCGGTAATTGATGCATCCCAGAAGCGGCTCGCTGCAAAAATAGATCCCGGTCCTATCTTTAGCAGCGCAGCACGCTAGCATGCTACTTCTGGGACACGTCTGAAAATTGCTGCATCGCGGCTGGTGTGTGACACTCCATAGACTATAATGGATTCTATGTGAAGTGGTGGCGTTTTGCTGGCGCTGCGCACGGCTGATGCTTCCAGTGTGCAGTAGGGTTTATACGAAGCTGTATAATCACCAATGTTCATTGTTTTCATCATGAATTCCTATTGTTGCAACAAGGATAGCATCAAAGTGATGATTTTTATTTTGAACTTCCTTTAGTGGAGATTACAAGTCCTCTTATTATGCACAGCTGATTTATATTGTAACTAAAAATGGTTGGGATTGCAGATGCTGACTCAACTGGTGCCTGTAAAGGTTTTTGTAAGATCTTCTCCTTGTGTGATAGGTGGCAGCACTGCTCCATGCTCTGGGCACTGTCCACCATTACAAGAAGAAGAAGACCACCACTGTGCAGCATGCCAAGCACAAGGAGTTTCTCCAACAGAAGGAGAAGCAGGAGGAGGCTAAGCTTAAGAGACAAAAGGAGGCAAAGAAGAAACTGTACCGTTTGATGGGCCAGATGGACAAGAAGAAGTTGAAGTCGAGCCTAAAAGGGGCACCTAAAGATGACTAGTCTGTCTGGAGTCACCAACCCACCCTTTGTAGAACTGGACTGGGATACTTGGAATTGTATTATTCAGCGGATGTACTTCGTAGGAGTACTGGTCTGGTGACATCTACTGAGAAAGGAAGGAATTTGATGTTTGAAATGGTTTTTAATAAAGTAGTAACTTCAACATGTGACCTCAGTTCTTCCAGTTGACGTACACATTTATGGCACTGGTCTGGTGCATTTAAATGATGAAGTAATGGTTTTTGGTCAGCTTGTTGGTTTCAATGTCTTCTGTCTGCGTCTGATGTGCAACACTTTTCAACAATCACACTGAAGGGGAGATGACCACAAGCTATGTTCCTGAGGAGTTTGTATCCAAAATTCACAACATTTGCTCCGAGTTTAAAACAGAAAGTTACGTGTCAGCGTTCCCCTGCTCTACCACTAGATGTGCATATGAATGATCGAGCTGTTCTTAATACACTGCCTGGCCAAAAAAACGTCACCCAAAAACAAAGCCACTAATACTTTGTTGGGCTTACCCAACCCCCCCCCGCTGGTTGTTCCCCCCACTTCTAAAGCCTATATGTCCATGCACTATGGCGTTGTTTCGATAAGCTTGCATTGATGATGGTAGAGTCTGACCGCTGCACAAAGCCTTCTCCTGCACATCCCAAAGATTCTCATTGGGGTTGAGGTCCAGACTGGTGGCATGTGTGACATAGGCCTTGTTCAAGCTGAGCTGCGCCTCGCCTGGAAAACAGACGAGAGCAGACGGACGCAGCAGGGGAGTGGCTGAAAGCCGGCGTTTAAGTCGGACAGATTTCCCTACATGTGCAGCTCGTGGGTGACGATGGATGAAGACATTGCTTTAAGTTCATACTTATTTAATTTGTAGTTTTAATTCTGGTGCCTGTTAGCAGCTGATACTCATCCTCACGTGCTTCTGGATATCATGTATTGTATATGGAGACATGGCTGTAATAATAAGTAAAGATTATCAGCTGTAGCTTCAGTGTGCTCATAGGAAATGTGACAAAAGAACAGAAAAGATTTCTCTTCATGGCCTATATAGTTGTCATCATCAACATAACATGATTTACAGAATACATGTGACCAACTAACATTTCATGTTCTACCACCGGATGTTTGCATCAAAATGTGAACCAATCAGATCTTAGATCAGGTGAGAGCCAGGCGTTTCCCGTCATGCCCTAGGTTTTGCAGCTGGTGGAGAGCAGCTGCAGCGCCTTGCTCTAAAATCTGCGGCCGCCTTGATCTCACGAGGTTATCGTCTACGTATGCATGACGTCAGAGCAAGTCGGACACAAATCTAACCGGCATGCACTGCTCGCCGATCACCGCTGATCTAGTCTGCACAGAACTGGCTCATCTCGAACACGGCCAATGTCTCATTCTCCCTGGACCACTCTTCCACTATTTGAGCCTGATGAAACCTGGCATTGCCATCTTGGAATATGGCCATGCCTTTAGGGAAGATGGAATAACGTGGTCATTCAGTAAAGCTGACCACATTCTTGCAGAACCTAGTCCTGACTCACCGCAGCAAGCCCAGATCATAGCCCTGCCCCCGCAGGCTTGTACAGTAGGCACTAGACATGATGGGTGCATCACTTCATCTGCCTCTCTTCTTACCCTGATGCACCATCACTCTGGAACAGGGTCCATCTGGACTCATCAGACTGGTTTTTAATAATGTGTTGGACAGTCCCATTTTCTGCAATCTCCTTGCATGTTTTCTCTTCTTGATGCATGCCAGTGATGTGACCCTTCTCAAATAGCCTAACATCTTTTCCATGACCACAAGATGTGTCAGCATAACAAGTTAATTTAGGTGTTAGTCACTATTTTAAAAACCTCGGTATCCAGATGACCTAATGAATCATATCTAACCTAGTTTACTGATGTCTTCCCCCACCACCTCCACCACCAACCCTTTCTGACACCTCCTTCACGATCGTAGACTCATGCCGCTTCTTGGGTACCACCATCACCCAGGACCTCAAGTGGGAGCCCACCATTACCTCTGTCAAAAAAAAAAAGACTCAGCAGAGGAGGCAGCAGGAAAAAAAATTTCAACCTTCCTGTACAGTTCTACACTGTAATCGAGTCCATCCTCACCTCTTCAGTCATCGTTTGGTAAGCTGGAGCTACCATCAGGGAAACGAAGAGATGGCACCATGTCTAGCACTCTGCTGAGGAGGTCATTAGCTGCAAACTTCCCATTAGACGGGGCCTGAACACCTCCAGGTCATGGTTGCGTGCAGGTCGGATCACAGTTGGCCCGTTTCACCCTGGACAAAGTCTTTTTGACTCACGCCCATTTGGCAGGAGGCTCTGATCCATTCGGTCCAAAACCTCAACAGTTTCCCCTCTGCAGATGGACTCGTGAATGACGATCCTAGGACTGCTCACTCCAGTCGCTTAGTTTCAGTCAACTTAACCCTGTGGTGTGTTTGTACCTGACCAGTACTGTCTTGTATACACAGGTGCTGGTCAACAAAACTGATTTATTTCAGTAATTCCATTCAAGAAGTGAAGCTTGTATATTAGATTAATTCATTGCACACAGACTGATGTATTTAAAATGTTTATTTTAATTTTGATGATTAATAACTGACAACTAATTAAAATCCAAAATTCAGTGATTCAGAATATCAGAATATCAATTAACACCAATGCAAAAAAGTGATTTTAAGAAATGTTGGCCAACTGAAAACTTTGAACATGAAAAGAATGAGCATGTACAGCACTTAGTATTTAGTTGGAGTTCAATCATTAGACAGCATAGGACAAACTTCCACTGTAATGCTGACGATACAGTTATATTTATCCGTAAACCCCAGTGAACCGAATCGGTTAAGTGTGTGTTGGCTATCTCGATGACCGCCCCTGCCTCATCCAACGACTGGGCAGTTGAAATGGGGAGCCAAAGGCAATGCACGGGCCGACGCTCGTCATCCGCAGCTCTTTTCATCATCATCATATTGCTCGAAGTTCAAGGTGAGGAGGAGGAGTAGCAACCATTTTTCATTCAGACCTTGTAACTGTTAACGGTATTATGGGGTGCCAGTCAGGTCTCCCTCCTGACTTATAGGATTATTGTGAGAGTTAACAAATTTGCTTTGTACCCAGTTTTTCCTCCATCACACAAGGACTTATACTTAAAATTAATTAGTATACACCCTTCGATTCTGTAAAAAGTGAGGGCCGCCAGCAGAAGAAATTCAGCACAGTCCATTAAGACGAATCAGCAGTCTTGACTTTGATTTTGTTGTAGCTCCATTTTAATTTCCTTTTTTTCCTTGTAGTTGAGACCGCTGTGGATAAGGAGCTATGACACAAAGCAAACATTTTTAAATTAAGCACACAATCCATTCAAACATAAAAAAAGAATCCCGTAAAAGAAAAAATCTGTAACAGAACTCACTCACTTGACAGTGATGTGAATGACTCTTCGAACAGGACACAATTCAGAAAACTCTAAAGAAAACAAAGATTTGGTTTTCCCTTTAGGTCTCAGGGACTTAACACGTGCACGCCAAGGTATTTTGGTTGGTGTCTGGTTGGCTCAGAGGACTTACGTTCTCCTCTGGGATGAGAGGTGAATTGCACGCCGTCACAGGGAGACGTTCCACATGCTGACACGTTGTTCCATCACTTTTAAGATGAGCTTACCCGTCTCCAGAAGCACAACACATCCGAGGGATCAATGGCCTCGTTGGATGGATCCAAAAGTGTGTCTGGTTTCTCAGTGTCTTGCATGTAAATGACTGGGGAAAAATCCAGGGGAGAGGATTCCAGGAATCCAGCAGCTTAGACACCATATAGGCGTATTGCTGCCCACGCAACTTCACACGCTACAGCCACGCCTACCCACTATAATGACTATATCCTGTTATATGCACCCACAGAGCGCAAGTAAGCCATCAATAGCTGCACACGTTGCTTATCCTGAACCCTCAACAACGTCTGGAGACTGAAAACTTCCACTCCACACTGCCCCAACATCCCGCTCATCCCTGTACCTTCTGCAGCTCAGCAACACATGGGAGACCGTCTCCTGTTCCCCACAAACACGTCTCCCATCTGGGTGTTTGCCCACCAGGAACAGGCCACATCCCAGACCACAATGTCCCAGCCTCAAACGGGTCAGCACCACCTCATCCCTCCTCCCACAGCCTATATCCAGCCTTCCTTCACCCACCATGTCCTGCAGTCCAAAAAAGCTCCTACCCTTTTGCCCTGTGCACCAGGAGACCTGCCACAAGCGCCTGACCTCCCGGCAGATCACCGCACAGTATTCCACCCACTCCCATATGGGCGGGAACCCAAACGAACCCCACAACACTGCCCTGCTTCTGCAGTGAGCAGAGCAACTGGTGTACTGAGACCAGCAGATCCGGCCTAGAGCCCGATCTCAAACCCGCCAGCACACTCAATGCTGCCGCCAAGTCGGAACACACGACCACCTCATTGGCCCACGTTCCCCCACCCACCTCAAGGCGCACAGCATAGCCACCACCTCTGACGTGAACACTGAACTGTGGTCACGCAGCCGGCCACCAAACACAGGCCCCATGCTAGGAACCACAAATCCCACTGCAGCCCTGCCGCTCTCAGGGTCCCTAGAGCCATCCGTGTATGTCGGCACACACTCTGTCAGTGCGCCCCAGGGCAGCTGTGGCTACATTGTAGCTCATCACCATCAGTGTGTGAATGTGTGTGTGAATGGATGAATGATACACTGTAGTGTAAAGTGCTTTGGAGTCCTCACTCTGAGAGGCGCTACAGAAGTGTGGGTCACTTATCATTTATGTTGTCCCAGCCTAAGAAATCACAATGTAGCCATAGAAACACTACTTGGTATATATGTTGTGTGTGTGTGTGTGTGTGTGTGTGTGTGTTTAAAGACACACCATACCGGCAAATCTGCGTAATATTACCGCAATGGTATGTCTATAAACGTGCCATGCCGGCATGGCGTTTCGCGAATTTTGCGGCATTCGTTCTGCGTCGCTTGGTAGTAATATTGCGGTAATGGTCTGTCGTATGCACCCTGGTGCAACAGAGGCAGATGTCATGATGACGCGGGGAGTTATTGCTGAGCTCCGGCTGGCAAATTTATTGAAAATGAAAGTAAACACGCCACATCTCTATAGTGTTGAGTAGATGCAGGAAGGTGTGACCTAGACTGAAGCTGCTTAGGAATGAGATTTAATGCTGCATTGTAGGAACTGGAAAGGTCAAATCTAAGTCCTCTAGCTGCCGTCATCTGAACCCTTTTGGGTTATCTTGTTTTGATCACTCTCCTCCAGAAGCTGTCTCTGCTGATCGTGCCAAAAGCTCCTCATCAAACAAGGCTTCTCTAAAGAAGCTTCCATTGTCGTATAATGATTTGCATTGGAAGTTCGTATGGATTTTCTTCACTGGCATTGCACTCCAAGTCTTCCATATTATTTTATGGAGAAGGACGGTGGATGGTTCAGTGGGAAGTGGAAAAAGAGGAAACACACACTTTGCACTTTTTATTACAATTTTACAGCCATAAGATTAAAAAAATACCAGGCAGCCCTGTTACAATTATGGTCATAAGAGGGTTATTAAGACGGCGATGCACAAACAGGAAGTGATTGGTAGTCATTCCACTCCAATCCAGTTGGTGGCGGTAATGCACCAAATTGTTGTTTGCCAAGTGCCATAAGACCACAAATAATAAGAAGAAGAGAGGTGGGAGTGTTCGTAACAAACTCAAAGCAATAGTCAAAACATGAAGCATGAAATGAAGTTATCCTAGTGGATCCAATAAGAGAAAGAAGCAGCTTGCTTCATGAAAGCTTTTATTTTCACTTCTGAAAGTGACATCGTTTTTCAATCAATCAATCAATCAATCAATCAATCAATCAATCAATCAATCAATCAATCAATCAATCAATCAATCAATCAATCAATCAAAGCTTTATTTATAAAGCGCCTTCCGCAACCCTAAGCCCAAGGCGCTGTCCTATGTAAACATCAAAAGGAAGCAGAAAGGAAAGACAATGGAAAATGTTTAAGGGAGGAAAACATAGACCAAAATGGAAAATAGAAAAAAAAAATAAAGGCAAAAGCACAGGAGCACTGACAGGAAAAAGAAAGCAGAGCAAATACTGAAAGCGCTCAAAGGGAGGGGAATACAGGAAAAAAGAGGAGACTGATAAAAAGGGAAAATAACTCATGTCAGAAGAGGGGAGCGTTTTGCAAATCCAGTTAAAGGTAAGATAGTCGAAAATTTAGTGTAAGGGGCCCCATGTCTGTGTTCGCCTTGGGCACCCAAATAGCTGAATCCGCCCCTGGTTGATGGTCCCTAAGCGAACCACCGCTTAGCGAGTCCTCGGAGCTCAGCTAGCCGTCGTTTGTGGCGCAGCGCACGCCCGGCATGAAGACTTATCGCTGACCGCAGTGAGTTCGTCGAAAATCCAACGTCCAACTTTACCACGGACGGTTGCGTAAATTAAATACGTCTGGTTTAGATCACAGCTGTGGTGCTTTTAATTTGAAGGCGCACAAACGGAAGTACAGCTTAGGCCGGACGGAAAAAGAATCAGAGGCAAAATCCACGAGAAAATAAGAGTCGGACGAGTTTTATGTAACGGAGTTGAGCTTTTTGCTTTCAGACGAAGTGTCGAGTTGTTTTCACAGCTTGTTATCCTCCAAATGGCTCCGACTAACGTCTGCCCTCAGTACTCCTCAGGAGCAGGTACGTGGACGAGCTTTCAACCGTATTTAGGGTTAGCTTTAAGCTAAAGCAGCGGCTGTCAGTAGGCTGCTTTCTAGCGCACGTGTGTGGCTGTGCGCGTGCCAGTGACACGTACCTGTTTAAAGCTCACCTGAATCAAGGTGTGTTTGTGACTGTAGCGTGTGTGTGAACAGCTTTTTAGCTTAACTTAAAGGAAATGTCCTCCTGCCTCCGTTCTACGGACCCTTTTGCTTGTTTAATTAAATACGTCTAAAGACTTTCTTTCTGATCGTTTATGTAATTTTATTTCTTGTTTTATTCCAGTTTGCTCATGATTTGTCTTGTTTATTTATTTTTATATCTTTTTGTTTGTTTGTTGTATTCTGTTAAGCATGTTGAGTTTCATCTGCGGAATAATGCTAATACTTGGAGATTTGTCTGTTTTTCTTTAACCACGTGCTCAACATGAACTGTGTCTGTGAACAAAGTGTTCCTGGTTCAACGCCTCTGGACTAGAGGTGCATGATGATTACCTGCGTCCTACAGTAAACCAGGCTGCCCTCTTCTGCTGGTTAGAAAGCATTCAGCCTCGGAGCAGAATCAGCTGGTATTTTAGTTTCCTCTAGCTGAACATTAGCTACTGATAACTTTCCTTGATTCAGGGTGATGCTTTCTGCTAAACCCGAGGGTTAGGGTTCCTGCACCCTGCAGGGTGGCCTGATCAATGTGACTGAACTCCTTTTGAAACACGTGTTCTTCAGAAAGATCTACTTATTGGGTCATTTAGATGGTTCAAAGTTCTGAAGCCTGTGTAATCCCGATGTGCTGGACTGAAGATAACAGCAGGATTTTAGCACCAACGGGGAGTTTCATGTGGAGCTGTAAATGTCAGGGGCCTCATTTATCAAGCTTGCTTACGCACAAAACGCAGTCAGAAAACTGCGTAAGCAACTTTCCACGCAAACTTTGGGATTTATGAAAGAAAACTTAGTGGAAAAATGTGTGCAACTTTAAGTTGACTAAGGACCTGGCTTACACACATGTTGGACATGGAGAGCACCTGCAGTGCTGCTGCTGAGAAGGATAACATGAAATTTTGCAGCATTATCACTTGTACTTCGTTTTCACACAGAACAAGACCCCCCCACACACACACACAGTGACCCGATTGATCATGCGCCCTGGCTACTTGTACAGGGGAGATCTCAGTTTGGCTGACTGGTTAGCACGCATGGCTTTCACCTGGGAGTCTGGGAAATCAAATCCTTATCGGATCTTTTTTTTTAATATCCGCCACAGATCTGTCTGAAGAAATCAGCATTGACGGCTTCAGCAATGCTGTGGCGCTCTGTGGATTTTCTCTTATTTCTTTTGCAAAAGCACTTCCTTTCATTTCTCCACCTCACCCACAGGTACCTCAACTTCTGCTTCTGTGAAATAACACTTCCTTGATCTGCCTTGATCTACGGTCGCCATCATCATTGGCGGAGCGGTGCAACAGCCGGCTTATGTATATGCATGAGAACCACAAGGCACTTAGCATTGACCATTTATGGCAGTAAGTGGGCGTGGTGAGGGCGGGATGTGACTAAAAAGCAGATGAGAACCTTTCTAGATAGTTTCTGATTTATGAAGTGGAGATTGCGTGCAGCTTTGTGTCCTCCATGTTTGATAGATCACAAACCTACTTGGCGTAAGTACATTTTTTTGCTGAGCTTAAGTACGGTTTTAGTACGGATTCTACGCCATGTTTGATAAATGAGACCCCAGCTCAGTTAGACCTTTGTGGAGCTGAGAGCTCCTTCGATCACTGAACTACATGAAGGGGCACCAGGTTGATAGACAACTCTTTGTCATGTGCACAATGCTGAGATTTATGTTTATGTTCATGTATTTAGGAGACGCTTTTGTCCAAAGCGACTTATGGTACAAGTGATAATTGGCATGTTGCCCTTGAGGCTAACAACAACAATAACAACAACTTGACATCAGTCATGGAGAGGAGGGAACAAGGAGTGGACAGTAAAGAGGGGGGACGGGTGCAGGGAGGGTGCTAGTTTAGAAGATGCTCTCCAGGGTCTTCAGAAGTTTTTTGAAAATTGAAAAGGAAGCCCCTTTTCTGGTAGTGCTTGGTAGGTCATTCCACATTTGTGGAACGATGCATGAGAAGAGTCTGGATTGTCCTGAGCGTGGTGTAGGCACCGCTAGCCGACGATCCTGTGATGACTGGAGCGGCCGGGCCGAGACGTAAGCCTTTGCAAGAGGATTCAGGTAGATGGGAGCCGTACCATCTCGGACTTTGTATGCTAGTGTTAGCAATTTGAATTTGATGCGTGCTGCTAGCGGTAGCCAGTGGAGCTCAATGAACAGAGGGGTGACGTGTGCTCTTTTTGGCTGATTGAAGACCAGACGCGCTGCTGCGTTCTGGACCATTTGAAGAGGTCTCACAGTACAGCCTGGAAGACCAGTTAGAAGGGCATTGCAGTAATCGAGGCGGGAGATGACAGTAGATTGCACCAGGAGCTGGGTGGCTTGTTGTGTTAGGTATGGTCTGATGATCTTTTGTACGTTATACAGCGCAAAGCGGCATGAAGTAACTGCAGAGGCACCATGATCTTTAAAGGTCAGGTGTTCATCAATCACAACACCCAGATTTCGAACGGCCTTTGAAGGAGCCAGAGACAGGAAGTCATTTTGGACTAGACATTTGAACTAGAATAAATGTGAGTTTAACTAAACTTCATCTATAATAGTGCTGGGTTTGTGACCGATTTCCTGAATCGATGTGATTTCAATTCATAAGTCTCTGAATTGATTAGATAAAATTCAGTCTGGTCTTAAATTAACTTCTGTTGTTCAGACGAGCTTCTTAACGTTACGTCAGGGGTGTCAAACTCAAATTCACACTGGGCCAAACTCAAGTGAAAAAGGTACAGCTACCGTCCACATTTCCTTTACAGATAGGTATTGTTGAACCTTTTTCATGTAGAAACAACCTTAGTTTAGATAAACACTGAATCTGGAATAAACAAATTACACACCATCAAGTCAATTAGAAATAAAACACACATCAGTGGTATTGGTTACTTATGTCTCTCATTATAAAACATTTTTATTCCTTAAAATATGTATATATTAATCATTTTTTATTTTTAAAAATCTTTTGAATTTGAAGTATTTTTTATTTTGTGTTTTTGTTGTTTACTCTTTATTATTAACATTTACTCTCCCTTTATCCTCCTGTAATGAATGTAATTGCTGCTGTGACACCAGAACTTCCCCACTGAGGGACAACAAAAGGATTTTGTATTCTATTTCTATTCTTCTTCTATAGCCTTCCCTGTTTAAGTTGGTTACATCTTTTTTTAACAAGCCAGCAACAAAAGAACTAGATAGTAATTCTCCTCAATGAAAACATCTCCGCCATTAACGTTCATGCTTTAGAGCAGAAAAAGTGCATAAAACAATAATTCAAGCTCCACTCTTATGCTCACCTGTTCAAGCCAGACACCTGCAGCTCCCTCTCTAACTGAGCTGGGAGAGGAGTTCATCAGTGAGACTCCTGTGTTGTTTTTTGTTCATCTTCATGACAGACAACAGTTGCTCACACAGGCTTGTGCTGCTGAACATGGAGAGCCTTTGAGCAGCTTGAGCATGGAGTTGTGTCCGTGTGTCGAGGAGGACGGATAGAAACAACAGCAGCTACAAGCTCTGACTTGAGTGTGTTACTTCACTGGAGTTATATGTTCTGGCGGTTGGTGCGCATGCTATGTCCACCGCAGCCCGCAAACAGGTTACTGAGCTGTTGGAATCTCTATTTCTGGGCTTCAGAGTTGACAAAGCGCTGAGTAAACTTGGTGCTGAGTAAACTTGGTGCTGAGTAAACGGGGGCATAAACGTTGTTTCAAGGCAGCGTGAATTAAGAGTCCAGTCTTTGGTCAGGTAATGTACAGTTAGACTCATGTAAGGAGTCACATTCACACTTGACCACATGTCAGTGGTGGCAAAGAAAAGGTCCACACTTGAGCTCGTGCTCTGTGTTGTACTTTTTCGGCACAGCAGTTTTTGAGAAGTAGGTTTTCCCTGGCGACGCGAATTGCTTGTCAAATTTCTGGAGAAGGGACTTGAATGCAGGTTTCTCCACAGTGGAACAGGGCACCATCTTCTCCACCAGATACCGTGTAACAGCGCCTGTCAGGCGCTTATGTCTGACACTGTCTCTGCTGTACTTGCCGGCTCTAGCAAAGGCTTCGCCGACTCCCAAGCTGTCGGCTGGCACCGGCATGAGCTGCCCCGCTGCTCTGTGTGGCAGAAGGAGGAGGCGGCGGCAGCCGCGCTTTAATAGCAGGATGGTAGCTAGCTAGGTGAGCCCTTAAATTAGTTGTGTTTCCTCGTTTTACTTGAACGTTTTGCCACAAATTTTACAGATTGCCTCATTTAAATTGTCTGGCCCCCCCCTTTTCATTTGGCTGAAAGCCGCAGTACTCCCAAATGGATGAAGCAACGCTTCGTTTTGATACCAGTGCAGCCATCCTTCTCCATTGGTTTGTTTTTGATAAAAAGGTTAAAAAGAGGCTCTGCTATGAAATCAGCAGCCATTTAAAAAAATAAGGTTATATCATGTCAGGACCAGAGGGGTTTCTGGGATCCAGAGTTCTAATAGTAGGGCTGGGGGTAAACGATTATTTTTAAAACGATTATTCTGACGATTATTTTATCGAATAGTCGACTATTCTAATGACTATTTATACAATTAATCTAATGATTATTTTTCTATTGCACAGTTAATAAAAACCAAAAAATCTCTAATAAATTCCTCAAAAAAATTTATTAATTCTTACTGTAAGAGAATAAACACTACAGGCCTTCATTTTGTATAACACTGCTTTTATTGTGTTGGTTGGTTATGTTCTGGTGACGTGTAGAACTTGGGAGTGCAGGCTGCTGCCTGAGAGGTGGTAGAAGATGGAGTGTCTCCATGCTGCTTTGTTTTGGTCACTTATGTGCGTGAGGCGGGTGATGTTACGACCCTTCCTGGGGAGTTTGGCTCGTGTGCAAAAAGGAAGGGACAATAACGTGGGATTTAAAAGTTAAAATGATGATCAGGTTTATTTACAACTACAAAAAAAAAAAACAAATCTTTCCATCCACAGGTTGGGAATAATAAACTAATTCTGCCTGTGGGGAATTAAAACAAAAGTACAAATAAGTAGGGATGTCCCACTGGGCAAAGATTACAGGGTTTTGGACAAAGATAAGAATCTCCAAAGGTCCAAACTCTAAACTGGGTGGTTAAACCAAACTCAAGGTCATATTTTAAACTAAACCGAAAACCCACAACACTCTAAATGTAATAAAAGGGAGATCTGCACCACAAAAACGATGAACTCTAAACCAAAACGTAACAGCTTATCCAAACGCAAGAAGCTGTTAGCAAAAATGCTAACAGTAGCTTTACGAATGTTAAGTTCAAGTTACCAAGTTTAAATAAACCAAAATACCCAGCAAACAGACCAGCATGGAGGAGAGACTGCTACCACCAAAACAGCTCTCCTCATGTCTGAAAGAAGCTCCTTTATGAAGGGAGAAGCGCTCCCGGTGATTTTCTGTATCTGCGAGAGACGGAGCAGCGCATTTGACCCTGGAAGTTGTTGTCCATTGCCGGGAGACGAAGGCGGGCAAAACAGGAAAGGAACCTAGTAGCGGACGGACGTTGTTCCGGGTCTTTGGTATTTGGCGGAGATGTTAGTGAAGGCGGAGAAGAAAGCGAACTAGAGGAAAAACAGGCAGATTCCACCTCTATTTACAAACTCCTGGGGATGCAACAAGTGGGCGCGGTGCGTCGACTACCGGATCTGACGTCGACGAATTTTTAGAATCGAGCCGTCGACGTCATCGAGGCTTCGCTACAGCCCTATCTAATAGTTTTATGTACTTGCTCTACAGTAAACGGAGCATAGTTAAGAGATACCAGGGGTCATTTGGGAATCGGTGCAGGGGGACACGGGGCGTTCCAGTAGAAGTCCACACTGAACCAGATGAGATGAAATGCTTGTTAAAACAGTTTCAAACCCCAGTCGTATTATAAACTGGGACAGAGTCATTTAGGACACATTTTGGAAGAGCATGAGAAGTTAAGTTGACAGAGAAAAACTTAATAATTTCCCAAATTTTCGTGGAATATTTAGGTTCTCAGTTGTGACAGATAATAGTCTGATTTGGCCTTTTTGATGAGAGTGGTACATTTATTTCTTAGTTGCCTAAAGATTGCCCAATCAGACGGCAGATTTCCTCTTCTTCCTCCGGGAGACGCAGCTAGACCGCTCCGTCTATGTGGGCACCAGACTGGCTGTGTGCTCCCCCGGAGTTTACTACACCTGGGGTAACCCTTTTCTAACCCGAACGTTTGGTCGTGTAAACGCATACCGGGATATCCCCATCAAAGCGTGTGTTCTGCGCATGCTCTGTTCGCAAGGAATCTTGGTCTTTTGAGCAGCGAGACATCTTGTATGCGCCAGAACACCGGAAGTAAACAACAACTTGGGAGCGACATGGCGAGTCGCGGCACAGCACCACACTTTTGGAGTGACGAGGAAACTAAAGCGCAAACGAACGCGGTCGCTATCTCTTCCGAACTGGGAAACATGTTGTTGTTTTCACGGATACCGGAACGAGAAGAACCGGAAATGACGCATATTGCTTCTGGACGTAGTCCACATGTCCTGACGCTACCCCAACGTCCGCATTTACATCGGGTTATGCAAGTTAGGGGTAACTCTTTCTATTTATGCTTGTAAACGGGTTATTCTGATCGACTCAGAAACCCGAATCCCGACCTTAACCCGATCATAACCCAAATATTGGCTGCATGTAAACGTAGTCACTGTCATCTGCAGACATCAAACTCCATTAGACTCCTATATCACCTTTAATCAGCCCGTCTGTCCATCACCAGAGCACACAAGGAGGGGCTCAGAGCAGATCCTTGATGCACACTCACATCCACCTCGAACTCCTCTGTAACTCCTGCAGCACACCTTACTCCCATCTCACAGCTCTCATACATGTTCTCCACCACTCTGGTTACTCCACACCTCCTCATGGACCACAGCTCCTCTCTCTAAGCACCGCCATACGTTTCTAACCTTCGCCGTACTTCTCCTTTAGCATCCTTGAAACAAAGGTAGCTTCTGAAGAACTCTATCTTGGCATCAAACTGTTCTGCTGCTCACACATGTTCACTACTGAAGCCTAGCCTAGCCTAGCCTAGCTTCCACCACTCCTTCCTCGAGTTTCGCTGTATAACACAGCTTTGTTCCTTTGTAGTTCACACATTCTTGTTAGCATCCATGTTTTAAATCACAAAGTGTGATTTAAAAACAGCCACAGAAAAGATGTTATACTTTGCCGAGTGGTGCATTGGGCTATGCTTAGAACAGGCCTGAGGGCACCAGGTTGGTGACCCCGGGCTTAGAGGATCTGCCTGGCTCAGGTCTGATGGTCCACCGTTCATCTGCTGGAGTCAAGTGTTTTGAAATGAGACTGACTCAAGACATTTCATCTCCTTTTGCCATTTGTAACATTTTGTCAAGTATTTTTTAACACAATGAGGGATGTGCAAAAATGGTCAGGTGATGGGAAGTACATGAATGGACAAGAGGCAGCCACTGAAGCATTTGCTCTGAATGTTTGGAGAGCTAAAGAACAAAAGATTGAAATGAGTGGCTGCTTAGAAGGAAATAGAAATAAGGACTGGGCCCGTTTGTGCAATATTAACATTATGAAAAACCACTTTGAGAACAGAAATAATATTTTCTGTCCAGGATGTAGCAGTTCAGTGGAGTTGGAGCTCCGAACATTGCTGCAGCAAAGGATTATGGTCCTGGACGGTGGAATGGGAACCATGATCCAGCAGCATAAGCTTGAGGAGGAAGATTTCAGGGGAGAGGAGTTCAAAGAGCATCATCTGCCTCTGAAGGGCAACAACGACCTTCTTAGCATCACACAGCCAAGTATAATTTACAACATCCACAAGGTAGGTGATCCAGACCTCAGGTGCTGTGCTGCTTAAGCCACGGAAGCTGAACACGTAGCTTCTGTTATTGTGCTGGAGTTTCGTGATGCAGTGCTTCTGTTAAGGCTTGTGTGTGTGTGTGTGTGTGTGTGTTTTCAGGAATATCTGCTGGCTGGTGCTGACATTATTGAGACCAATACCTTTAGCAGCACGTCAGTTGCCCAAGCAGATTACGGACTGGAACATACGGTACGCTGTACACGACTCATGCTGGGAATGTAAAGGTTAAAGTGACAATGTGTAGTTTCCCTGGCGATAGGGGGCAGTACACACCTAAATCATTGCAAGCAAGCATTATTTTTTTGTTCAAGCAAGATCTTACCAACAGACGCCATTAGGGTAAATAATCCTCGGGAGCTCAACCTCCAGCAAAATAACAAGCACGTCAGATTCCCTTTCATCTCTGGCATCGAGTGAAGAGGTAAATGTGTAAAAGAACAAAGTCTATTAATGCGGAAAGTTTTGTAACCGTTTGTTGCAAATCAGTAAATGCAGTCTGTCCTCATGGGCTTCCGTAGAAGGAAACATGGCATCCAATATGGCGTCGCCCATAGACTTAGACCCACTCCCATGCATTTTAAACCCAAATGTTAGGTTATGTGTTATGAAACCACCAATACTTTTCAACAGCTGGTTGTCTTTTAACTCATTTACAACATTTCAGTGGATATTTCCGGAGAGTAATGGTAAAAACTACACATTGTCACTTTAAGAACACTGGTGTTGACTTATTAACCACTGATGTATTTTTTTTATAACTTTAGCTGAATGTATGTCTGCTGGGAGTTTTTCTCCTCCCGTGGCCTTGTCTTCATCACACTTTTATGCCTTCTTTTTTTTCTTGTCAGTTTAATTTAATTTGATAATAATCCTAAAGAAGCATGCATTGCAAAATGACAGGTTTTACAATCATTACTATTATTTTAATCATCACGGTAACTGCTGCTGCCTCAGTTTTTGTTCTGGAATGTTCTGAAGGGATCAGATGGATCATAGTTGAGTAGAAGGTTCCATTTTGCCATCAAAATGTACTTTCTGGTCATTTAACAAATGGGCCATTTAACTTGTGCCCTCAAGTCAAACATGAGGTTTGAGGACTGCTTCCGGTCCCTCCAGCCACTACCAGCTGGCAAGAAGTGTCTTGCCCAAGGACACAACAACTGCAACAGAGGGAGCTCGAACTTGCAACCCTCCTGTTACAAGGTGGATACATACAGTGGGGCAAAAAGTATTTAGTCATCCTCCAAATCTCTATGAGAGAGGCTTTTAATTTTCATCATGGGTGTCTAGGGTTGGCCATCGAGCATCGATTGGAACCGGTTCCGACTGTTCATTTTTCCCGCAAGTTTTTTATTTCGATTCCTAGAATGCCGACGGAAGAGGAATCCGCGGCCGATCTCCGTGAAAAATAAACGTGATCTGCAAATTGTGATCAACGCGTTTCAGAGCTGATCACACCAGCTGTCTGTGTGCAGCACGAGTCCCCCTCCCCCCACCCGGATGTAAACAAACGCGTCTGCCGAACTTTTACTGCGTGATGTAAACGTTAACTCGTGCAGCGTAGAGGAAACGTGTTAAATACGTCAACACGGTGGGTTTAATAGAAGCTTTAAAGGACAAACTCTGGACGTGTGAGGTGAGTTTGTCTCACTGCAGAAATAAAAACACACACGGAGCGTCAGCAGGTGTGTGTGTGTGTGTGTGTGTGTGTGTGTGTGTGTGTGTGTGTGAGCGTCAGAAGGCTGAACAATAACCTGTAGAATAATTAAAGTCATCATGCTGGAGCAGCTTCTCTGTGGTGGACCACGCCTGCTTCTGCCACAATAAATAATAATAATAATAATTATTATAATAATAAATGACACACAACGTTGTGAACATTTTAATTTCCTTTCTGAACTATTTCTGTTGAGTTTTAATGTTTAAATCTGTTAGCTTGTTACTGACAGCAGCTACGTTTAAGTTCCACTTCCTGTTGTGACTGAACGCTGCTGCAGCATGGAGGTGTGGTTCTCAGTCATCCTGGACATGATCATCCTGAGAGCTTTAGCTGGAAACAGCTGGACGTTTCTGGATATGTTGGAGACATTTAGCCTCTCATCCCAGAGGCTGCTTCCACACGTTGGTTGTGGTCAGAAACAAACACACTGGTTGTGCTGCGTCTTTTTCTTTTTCTCTCCAAAACATGTTTGTGTCTAAATGAAGGTGGTGATGTTGTTCATAGAGTTAAAATTCATGTTGAAGTTAAGATTATTTCATCAAGTAGGACCTGTGGTTAGCTGGCTCATGTAAAGCATGTCATGTCTTGAAAGAATCGGAATCGATAGGAACCGGAATCGAAACGAGGAATTGGAACCGGAATCGTTCAAAATCAAACGATGCCCAAAAAAGAATTTTTTTGCAAATTGTACTTTCATGCAACACACACGTATCAGTGTGCTCCTGCGCAAATGCAATGTGCCCTTTTTTTGTCTTGCTGTCGGGCTGCTGAAGAGGGCTGCAGAGTTGCTGGGTTTCACGTGACGTTGCATCTACATCACCAAATGCAGACGGGGTCCGGAAGTAGCCGGCGCTGCACAACACGGTATTTACTTCGGTGACTGGGCGTGAAAATGCCAAACGGTTATTACAATCACTCCAAACGGGGCAAAGACGAACGTTTTTTCAAGTCCCAAATGTACTGCACCCCAAAAAACTTCATTAAAAAAAGTAAGCAAATAGTAAAGTAAGTACATTTTATTTCTGTAGCACTCATCGCAGACATAGAATCACAAAGTGCTTCAGATAGATCAAAACAAAGCAGTCATAAAATCATAATGATCTCAAAACAGAATTAGATTAACGTCAGGAAAAAAAGTCATAAAATTATAAAATTTCATAAACAGATGAAAGATTAAAGAGCAAGTCACCCCCAAATCAACTTTTTCTTGCTGATAAACTATATAAATGTGTAACTAACTGTGCTGCAGACACGTGTCGTCAATAATTTGATACTTCAGTGCATCTTAGTTAAAATTTAAATATTCTGCCTAAAACTGTCAGTGTTGCGCTGTTGTCAGGTAAAAACTCTGCACTGCATTTGAATTTAAATCTGCCACCGCTATTGGCTAAGAGGTATGCTATGATGTAAACTGGTCTATTATGATGTCACAATGCCATTGTGAGCCTGTGTGTGTGTATTTGTTAGTGGCTCCGCCCTCTCGGTCTGCTAGGCAACAGCATTTGTTGCATTTTTCAAACATGAAGAGGGAGTGAAGTAAGTTTCTTGTAGGGGGTGACTTGCTCTTTAAAAATAAGAAAATAAAAGGTTTGAAAAGAAGACGGCAGAAGTGGACCAGTAATCTACGGCTTAAACAGGAGCTGCAATGGACAATGCTGGAGTTTACAGCTATCACTTTCTAACAGGTTAGAGATTACTGAGTGTTGTAGTAAACAGTTGCTTAGAAACAGCCATAAAAACGACAGGTTGCCAGTTTGATACTGTTTTCTCGTGCACAATACGTTTGGGTCTACCAGGTCTGCGCAGCATCATCCCCTGCTGTCTGATCCAGCTCACCGCCAGGTGGTGATCAGCTGACAGCTCCGCTCCTCTCTTTACTCGAGTGTCCAAAACATACAGTCTTAAATCAGATTATTCAACTACAAAGTCAACCGAGGCTGCCCTGGTACCAGGTGTACCCACGGGTATCCTTATGTTTGAACATGGTGTTTGTTACGGCCAAACTGCGACTTGCGTAGAAGTCCAATAACAGAACACCTCTCTAGTTCAGATTGGAGGACCGTTCCTCCCAATCACGCCACTCCAGGTCATGCTATCCTTGCCAGCGTGAGCATTAAAGTCCCCCAGCAGGACTATGGAGTCCCCGGTTGGAGCACCATCTGGTACTCGTCCCAGGGACTCCAAAAAGGGACTCTGATCTGCTATTTAGTGCATAAGCACAAACAACAGTCAGGGCCCGTTTCCCGACCTGAAGGCGCACGGAAGCTACCCTTTCGTCCCCCGGAGAAAACCCCAACATACAGGCAGAGAGTTGTGGGTTTGAGTTCTCCTCCTTGAACCGCCACCTTATCGTGGTGGAGGAGTTTGAGTGCCCTAAGGATCCTAGGAGCTATGCTGTCTGGGGCACTTCGTGCCCATGGTAGGGTCACCCATGGGAAATTGGTTTTAGGTGAAGGGTGAGACAAACTGCGAAACGCCAGAGTACGCGGCCCGGAGGGTTGCTGGGGTCCCACCCTGGAGCCAGGCCAGGGGTTGGAGCCCACGAGCGAGGGCCTGGTGCCCGGGCTTTCGCCCATGGGGCCCGGCCATGCCCAGCCCGATCCGGATACATGGGCTCATCCCCCTTTGGACCCACCACCTGCAGGAGGAACATGAAGTGTCCGGTGCTGTGGATCGGGTAGCAGACCATGGCGGGAGCTTTGGCGGGCCGATCCCCGGAGGATAAAAAAATAAAAATAAAAAAGATAAAGAAAAGTAATTTAATGTATAAAACAGATGTGTGGCTGAATTTTTATTTTAATAGTTTAAAATGTTTTGTCCAAATTTTAGAGACATTCCATGAAGTTTATGAACGTGGTGTCCTCCTGTGATGTCACGCTGAGAGAAAAATGGCAACTTGCGCACCCGCCGACCTGTCTAAACACAACACAGCTTTAGTAGTTTGGGAGTATTTTTGGTTTGAAGCAGACTTAAGGAGAGCCGGTAAACACTGAGGAGGATCACTCCTTCAACCCATTTATAATCAAGTAAACGTAAAAAGGAGGCGTCCAAAAACATGACTCCACTAACACAGGCGCTACGCCAGCTTTAACCTTTTGGATTGACCTTAAACAAGTTCTCAATATAATTTACAAGCGGGTACAGAAACGACACCTACATCAGAGGCCGCGCCAGACATGCTTGTTTTCACTTTGACTGACAGTTTAAAAAACAATCATGATAGTTTCCTCCAATCGTTTTCATTTCTCATAATAAATAGAAATTTCCAATTAAATTTTTGTTCATTTTTCATCAATATTTAGTCTAAACAAGCTGACCAGCTTATCCAGCAACATATTGATGTTTCAGTTAAACAATTTCACCCCAAGTAGGAACACATAACCTGCTGCTTTCTGGTTCTGTTTCTGGGCTGTGACCCACAGATGCGCTCCGAGCTGCTCTCACAGCTCCTCAGCGCCCTTACAGCAAGCGGCACTGATCACGGTGTCAACGTCTGAGGTGATGCTCCGATGTTCTGATGTGAATCTTTTCGTGATATATTCTGTTACCTTTGAGATGTTCTCTGTATGCTTCGGGGTAATACCGGTCTGTCAGTGACCAGCAGCCTTGACATTTCTCCGTCAAAATAAACGATCAAAAAGGAAATCTCCGGTTAACCCTGCCCACATGTAACTTTTTAGCCTTCTTGTGTGAGGGGCTGCCATGCTATCTTCACAACAGGAGTGCACCATTTTCTGGAGGTTTATAAGCTCACCACAACACAAAGCGACCAGTGCTTCCTTTGTTTATGCACCTAGCTATCCCATCATGCAACACTCTACAGCAGCCGATACGTCACCTGACAAGGATCAATTTGTGCAAAGTTGACAGCGAAAGAAGAGCGAGCCATAGCTGAAATAGCAGACTTCTGTCTGAAGCCTGTCATTAAAAGAGACGACGAAGCGCCTTTCTGGTGGAAAATAAACGGTCAGCCCTTCCCCAGATGTCGCGATTAGCCCCAAACTAACTGGGTGTCTGTCACCAACCCTAAGCCGGTAAAGGTAAACATTCTTTTTCAGGCGAAAAAAACTTTTATAACTACAGGCTACAGTTTACAGGCTTTCAGTTTATTGGAGAAGGCTTGCTCGCCCTCTCGTATTGCTTGCAGAATGAGTGTGTTGGCCTAGTAAGTTGCATCTGATCGTGCGCCATCTTGCTAATGCTAGCCTTCTGTTGCAGACTTTCCTCTTGACATGATGGAAAATGCATATCTATAGAGTTAGCTTGCTTATTTTTGGATCTTGGGTTCACCGTGAACACATCAGAATAGATGTGAAAACTGGCCTTTCAAACATGAGCTCAATATCAGAAAGCCCCCGGAGAAGCATCCTTCTAGCCCCACTGCGTCACATGACCCCTAAGCAAACCCTTTCAACACCAAATAAAACTTGGTGCAAAACACAAAGGGTTCCCTAAAAGTTACGTTATGTACTACAATAACCCAGAAAAGTCTCAGTCCACAGAAATCAGACAAATCCAGGGGGCACCTCCGTGTGTGCGCCTTTCACTCTGCCACAGTGTAAACTGACCATATCAGCTCCACTGTTTCAGCCCTAGGGTCTTATATGATATAGGATCTTCAATGAGTATAGTTGTGTGTAACACGCTTGTTGCTAGCACAGCAGGCTTCTAGGACAAGCTGCTAGTAATCAAAAGGTTGCAGGTTCGATCCCGGCTCCCGACAGAGAATTCTGCTGTTGTGTCCTTGGGCAAGACACTTAACCCACCTTGCCTGCTGGTGATGGTGAGAGGGACCGGTGGCGCCAGTGCTCGGCGGCCTCGCCTCTGTCAGTGCGCCCCAGGGCAGCTGTGGCTACATCGTAGCTCATCACCATCAGTGTGTGAATGGGTGAATGATGCACTGTAGTGTAAAGCGCTTTGGAGTCCTTTGAGAGGCGCTATACAAGTGCGGCTCATTTATCATTGCGTTGAATTAATATGTAGATGTGTTGCTGTAACTGTTTTTTAAGGCTTATCGCCTCAACAGAGCTTCAGCTGAGCTTGCAAGAAAGGCAGCTGACGATGTCTTCAAACAGTCAGGTCAGCCTCAATGTCTTCAGTGTCTGAAATATTCCCTATATCTGACATTTTCTTGTCTGAATAGCATCAAGTTGTGTGTGTGTGTGTGTTTTACCAGGTTGTAAACGCTTTGTGGCTGGGGCTCTGGGTCCCACCAATAAAACCCTGTCTGTGTCACCCTCTGTGGATAGGCCAGACTTCCGGAACATCAGTAAGACGACTTTTTAACAAATACATTATTTTTTCTTTGAATAAAGGCTGCTTTGTTTGGCCCATGCAGAAGCTACTCTTCAGACATCTGTGCAGTGGATGGCTGAGTGTCGATGGTTTTTGTGTATGCCTGTTTCCACAGCATTTGATGAGTTGGTAGAAGCTTACTCTGAGCAGATTCGGGGTTTATTGGATGGAGGCGTGGATCTTCTTCTTGTTGAAACCATCTTTGACACTGCAAATTCCAAGGTTAGTAATCGTATCGTATCGATTTGTTTTTGGGAAAAAAAGGTACACTCTAATACAGGGGTGTCATAATACAGGGGTGTCATAATACAGGGGTGTCATAATACAGGGGTGTCATAATACAGGGGTGTCATAATACAGGGGTGTCATAATACAGGGGTGTCATAATACAGGGTTGTCATAATACAGGGGTGTCATAATACAGGGGTGTCATAATACAGGGTTGTCATAATACAGGGGTGTCATAATACAGGGGTGTCATAATACAGGGGTGTCATAATACAGGGGTGTCATAATACAGGGGTGTCATAATACAGGGTTGTCATAATACAGGGGTGTCATAATACAGGGTTGTCATAATACAGGGTTGTCATAATACAGGGGTGTCATAATACAGGGGTGTCATAATACAGGGGTGTCATAATACAGGGGTGTCATAATACAGGGGTGTCATAATACAGGGTTGTCATAATACAGGGGTGTCATAATACAGGGTTGTCATAATACAGGGTTGTCATAATACAGGGGTGTCATAATACAGGGGTGTCATAATACAGGGGTGTCATAATACAGGGGTGTCATAATACAGGGGTGTCATAATACAGGGGTGTCATAATACAGGGGTGTCATAATACAGGGGTGAACATAAAATCAGGCAAAGAAGACAACACTTGCAACTTATTGTCTTTAAAGGAACAGTACAGCTTTACATCATCTGCATACCTGTTATAGGAAATGTTTTTGTTAAGTTTAGCATCTTGCAGGACAGGATAACTGCCGGCCCGACTGTTCGTGACAGAGGAACAAACAACACACACTGTGGTCTGGTTCAGCTCAGTAGAGGCACACATGACACAAGCGTCATGCACAGTGCTTCCTTTCATTGCCACATAATTGGTTATCATGACACACACACACACACACACACACAGGTATGAGTACACATAATCAAGACTGATTTGTAACGGTTTTGAATTTACAGATTATCTGACCCAAAGTTAAATATACTGTAAAAACAGAGGCACTCCAGAACCGAACCTTGAGGAACTCCACAAATCACGTGTTTACTTACCATGCCTCATAGAGGAATATTGAGATTTTGTAGCTTCAGGATGCAATGTGTTTTGTTCTGTTGTACACTATTGTTGTTATATTTTGATGTTTACATGAATCTCAGTAAAATAACTTAGGATTTTATGTATTTTTTATAATGTACAGCATGCTTCTTCTGGTCTTTGTGTTTGATTTCCACAGGCTGCCCTGTTTGCCATTGACCTACTTTTTGAAAAAAGCTACGAAAGACGGCCGATATTTGTATGTCTGATGCCTGAGTTACCCTTTTGTGGTGTTGAACCTGTGTATGTGTGCTTGTCTTTATATGTTGAAGTGGACACATTTTGACCTTTAACCTGTAATGTCTGGACATTTCCACTTCGTGGGGACATTTTAATTCAATTCAGTTCAAAAATACTTTATTAATCCCAGAGGGAAATCGGAGTCCACACCATGCAAAGCACCCTAATACTTGGTTCTAGAGGTATGGTGTGAATAAAAATTTAGTTGAAATTAGATGAGGCTAGTGTTGCGAATAGAACCCCATTGATTAGGGTTAAGGTATGGGTAGTGGAGTCATTTGAAATCAACGGAGGTCTACAGAAGCATTTTTTATATACATGGTTTTATAAACTATTTTAATATCTGCTGGGGCTGGAGTCACCCGTTTGGGGCCGACAGGCTCCACATGAACAGCAAAGGAACCCGCACCCTGATAGTGAGCCTGGCCTGTCCACGTCCCCCCCCCCCCCCCCCCCCCCTTGCATCCCCACAGCCTGAAGTGCAGCTGGTCCATGCACCTACAAACTCAGCCCTGATTTTAACAGTAACTCAAATGTCAGACTTGAACCTTGTCAAACCACTCGTACCTGTCATCATCAGCAGAGAGTGACCAAATAAACACAAATCTAGCAAACGTAACCTTGGTAATCTCAAACAGCTACCAAAAATCTCAGGTTCTGCGTGTCATACAGTCACTTCATCTCCTGCCACTGTTAATATGGCTCTTTTAAAAGTTCACTGTCTGCTGAACAAAACTTTTATAATAAATTATTTGATTTTAGACTCTAATCTTCAGAGTTTTTTTCTAACAGAAACCTGGCTGAGCTCTGATGCCCCTGTTGTTCTTACAGAGACCTCCCCACCAAATTTTTATTTTACTTATTCAACAAGGAATGGAAAAAAGGGTGGCAGGACGGCTTTTATAAGTTCATCGATACTTTCTGTAAAACCTGTTTTATTCGACAATTTTACTACTTTAGAGTATTCCGCAGCTGCTTTTAGCGTTCCCCAGATTTTATTTGTGACTGTCTACAGGCCTCCTGAACAGAAGGCAAGTTTTCAGAGGTTTTATCACTATTGCATTACTTGGCTACAACACATATCTATATTAAAATCACCCAAAATGACAACATGACCAAACCTTGGGACAGAAACAGACAGTAGATCAGCAAAGTCGGTTTAGAAGTCCAGATTAAATTTCGGTGGATGATAAATAAGCATCCCCAGAAATTCAAAAGTTGACCCAAAATCAAACAAAGAGTTCTTACAACTGTGGAAAGACATTTTCGATTTCATTTGGCATCAGCCAAAACAGTCCTTGATGACCCAGGCCAGGCCACCTCCCCGCCAACAGCCCTGGGAGAATTAAAACAAATATATCCATCTAGTAACAATTCAGCACTAACATGCCCCTAGAATCCATGTTTCCACTATGCAGAGGACGCTAAAGTCATTCAGAATGTGGGACTTCTCTTCTTGATGCATGCCAATGACTAGACCCTTCTCAAACAGATAAACATCTTTTCCACGACCATGAGATGTGTCTTTCGATGTGGTTGTGTAACCCCTTAACGCCAGCTGTCACAAATTAGCGTCAAACCTGCATTCGCTCCAAATGCAACCAACATACTGCCTGAAAGAAAATCCACAGGTGAAAATAATTTTAGAATTCAAAACATATTCAGGCGTTAAAGGGTTAATAAATGAGAAGCAACTCATTGCACCAGTTGGGGTTAAATAACTTGTTGCCAGCTGAAAGATAATCACTCAATTAGTCATTATCCAATAGGAGGCTTGTGCCTATTTGATTAGTTAAATCCAGCTGTCAGTAATTTCATAACATGACAACAATTATAAATCTGAGTCAAAGAAAGTGAAATGATGAAGTGAAGATGAAAGTATGTAGAGAATGACTTGAATAGCTGACCAGCACATTTCAGCTCATGGTCTTCATCAGGGTCCGTGGTGGGAATACATTTATTGAGTCTTTTTACCCGGCAGGTATGACATCTGTAGCATTAGTTCAGATTAGAATAACTCAATGATTATAGAAACTTAATTTTCTGATTTGCTTTTTAAACATTTACTAAAAAGTCCACTAAAATTGGTGAAATAATTTTGAAGTAATGGCTACTGTTGCAAATAGGGTTTTTATGCATTAGCTGTACAGTGAAGAGTAACATGAAACACAAGTCTGGGGTGGTGAGTGTATCTTATCTGGCTTGTTGAGCAGATCTCGGGGACTATTGTTGACCGCAGTGGACGAACTCTGTCTGGTCAGACTGGTGAAGCGTTTGTCGTGAGTGTGTCCCATGCCAAACCAATGTGGTAAGTTACCGGTTCGAATAGTAATCTAATGGTCCTTTTCTACTAGTACCTACTCTGTGTGAGTCCACGTGGCTCGTCATGGTTCCCGAGGTTCTCCCGCTACTGATGGGTACCAGTTTGCTGCCCCTCTTGAAGTACCAGCCTCTAAAAAGTTCCAAGTGTATTGAGATGGGCTGAAAACATGACGCCAGAGGACAATGGGTCACTGATTGGCTAGGGGGTGGAGTCACCAGTTCTTCCGGAGTGTTTCACCTTGCTGCCCAACGTCTTTTCTTGTGGAAGTGTGACCGAAAGCCACAGACACGGCAGAAAGTTCCAGCAGGTCCATCCTGAGTGATCAACACCACTGCCATGTCATACATTGTTGCACTGAATTGTTTTTTTTACCGAGTCGAGCCAAGTGGAGTTGCACAGCAGGTACTAATGGAAAAAGGGCCATAATACACAATTCCCCAGTAACGCTGCCTTGTCCCTGGTGTTGTTGCAGCATCGGTCTGAACTGTGCCTTGGGGGCAACTGAAATGAGGCCGTTTATTGAGGCTATTGGAAAAAACACTTCTTCCTTTATTATTTGTTATCCCAACGCAGGTAAGTCCCTGTCAGGTTGCAGCCAGCAGCTTAGATAATCACTTCACCACAGCATCAGAGCACTCTTAAAGAAAGAAATTGGTGCATTTATAAACGATACTCCGCTTTAGTTGTGCTTCCGAGGTTGACTCAGGAAAGCATCAGTGCAGGATTTAGTCATTCTGATTCAGAGCATCTTTTACCAGCTAACATACAGTGTGCTCCTGTTCATGTAGTATCATCTCTCACCACCAGGATGGTCTCCTCTGTTCATTTGTTGTTGTTGTTGTTTTTTTCTAGGCCTTCCAAACACATTCGGAGGATACGATGAAACTCCTCAAGTTACAGCCTCCAGTTTAAAGGTTTTAAACTGATTTTATTTAAAGGACACCTATTGTTACTTTTTAACCCCCAGAGACCCAAATTTAGAAAACAACTGCAAAATCTTTTTTTAACCTTCCACATGTTGTTCTAGGAGGCCAGATAAACGGGCCTATTTACACATTTTAACAGCCAGTAGTGTTGCAGAACTGAACAATGGGACCTATTAGCAATGTAAATGTGGTTTTAAAAAGAAAAAAAATGGGGAAGGTTTATTTTTGTAGCCTTAAATCTGATGTTGTAATATTACAACCGTGGGTCTCTGGGGGGTAAGGAGATGTAGTTCTGTTGTTGATTTAAAAAAACTTGGTCAGGAAGCTCTTTGCTTTATGTGAGAGGAATTTAGAGCAATCTGATAACAAAAGAAACAAGTAATGCAGTTAGTAGAGACACACGGAATGATGTGGGATTCAGTGTTTTGTCCAAAGACTCTAGTATGTGTCAATGAAGCTGAAATTGATACCTCCCAGTTGTCAGATTACTCCATCAACTAATCGTCATAAAATGAAGTACTTTCATTAGAAAATACATATGGTAAGCCTGTTCTCCCGCAGCAAGGGATTGTGGGATATACACTTATCCCAAGTCAGCATCGATGCAGACTTGGGTGAAATGTGGATCAAGGACGCAAAAAGGGCATGATCAATTTCCACACTTGAGAAAGGGACACCCTACGCACTCGCACCCCTGGTTGGGATCGCACAACTGAAGGGCACAAGTGTGAAAGTGTGAGTCTTGCAGTACGTTCTCACACCCAAAGCATCGGAAAATGACGCGGGGTGACCAAGCTGGGAGTCCCAACGCGTCAGAAGGCGACGCTCTGGCACAGCACATCGATTTCCGACGCCTGCAGTAAAATGTACATTTCATTGATATTTGACCTCTAACCTTTTGCTATTTGACCTTCCTGTCACCCACATCCAGGGTTTAATTTGAGCCAGATCTTGCCGGAACAAGATCCAGGAACTGCCTTAAATATATTTTTAAACATTTTCTAAATGCTTTCTTATATTTCTACAATTTTTTATATTTTTTGTTTTTGTGAAGCGCCTCGTGATTTTTATCTTGAGAGGCGCTATAGAAATGATATTTTCTTCTTATTATTATTTTGAAAGGACCGTTCCGGCAACTCACGCGACCAACTTGTGCTTTACGCAGGGTCCGAATTACGGGTGAGCTAAAGGGATCCCAGCTCGCCTGAAAGGGTGACGCTCCCCTGGAAGCCCCCAGCTTCCACACCCAGGGCGAGCCCAAAACAGCTCCTGGTTCTACTTATATTACATTATCTATGTGGACTCTCCGGGGATTGTTTAGAGCTGAGAGGCGCAGAGCTCTGATCGTTGATGCGCTCCCGACAGATGCGTCCTGAGCACGGCCACAGTAACGTTATTAAAGCGGTGCCACATCCAAAACAAATTTAACACGCAATCGTTTATGTCGGCTCATATCCTTTAATGATTTCTGTCTTTTATTTGTGTCTGATGCGTTTCGCTGCTGCGGAGCGGAGCGCGTCTCCCATGTCCTTCGGTGACTTCGCCTCACTGGTGCGACTGGCGCTCGGCGCGCACTCATTCACCTTATTTGCGGTCGGTAGATCTTCTAGAACTGCAGTTCAAAGGTAACTCATGAGGTGAATATATATGAACCCAGGTAGCAGTTTTTCTTTAGGATTGAGAGGAGATGCAGGAAGATAATAAACAGACAGGACAGAAAAATAGTCAAATAAAAACAAGTTAGTTTTTGTACCTGCTGGTTGCAACAAACAGACACCACTAAAGGTAATCAGAAGTGAGGAACAGAAAATGAAATAATTATTTTAATGTTTAGAGCAGCAGGAACTCCGAGAGGCTGCAGGCGCATCAGTGAGTTTGCTGCTGCTGCGCAGGGGGAGGGGGTAGAGGGCTGAAGCAGAGGAACAGTCGCCTAGTGAACTAGACCAAATTCTTGCTTTGCAAAGTTTGTATTCACATAAGTGAATTTATATTCACACACATAGTCTTGCTTGCCAGGCTAGGGGATTAGTAAAAATGCAGAAACTACCAAGAAATGTGTGTTAACTGAAAATGTGGGCACAATTTTTAATTGTCAAAAACTCAAGTGAACCAACCTGGAACCCCCCCCCCCCCCCCCCCCCCCCCCTTTTTTTTTTTTTTTGCCTTTAGTGAACTTTAATTTCACATCAGTATTTGCGGTCGGGGAACATTTGATTTACAAATTAAGCACTGCCCACATCCTAACCTTAACCCTGCTTCTCATATTGAACTTCTCGTTAACTATATTTGGGAGGTACGTTACAACTGGAAACAAAGTTTTGCTTGCGGAAGTGGGTTAAGATTAGGATGTGGGTGAGGGGAAGGTTAAATACCAAAGGGT